TCATGTCAGTGGATTATTTCGATTTTAGTTAAGCTGCCGCAGAGGCGAGCTGCTTAAGAATGCAACTGTCCGTGCGATGGACGAACAATTGCAGCCTAATTGAAAGCTAAATTGAATAAAACACACACACACACGAGGACAAGCCCTCGACACATACAGACACATGCTAACAAGACAGCAGTAAAAAAAAGAGAAAAAAATGTAGCCTGCTCAACGGCGCACACTCGACACGTACAATTACTGTACAGTACACACACACATATGCAGTTGCAATTACTTATACGACGGTGTGTGTGTGTGTGTGATGAGATAGCCAGACGGTCCGCAAGAATCTCAAGAGCCTGAAACTATGGAACACTAAGAGAAATTGCATAGAAATAGTTTAAAATGTTGAGTTTTAAAACTTATTATAAAGGTGTCTAAAAGTATGCAAAAAAATAAATCGTTCTGTTTTTCACAGCATATTTTAAGAGATTTTATATTTCGATTTTAGTTCAATTTAAAAATAGTTTTTTTTATGATCTTAACAAGCATACAAAAATATTTAGTTTTGTCCCACGTTGGGCGCCAAAAAAAAGTTTTGTGTCCAAAAATAGTTCAAAAAAATCACATTGGAGTTGAAACTAAAAACATCATTAATTCTCTCTCTGCACCAGCATAGCCATTCCAAAATGCTGCAGGATAATGGAATGGAATAAAACAGGACATGGAGAAGAGAGAGCGGCGGACGGGAGACGTAGAAACACATTCTGTGCACATAAAAAGGGGGCCAAGGAGATGGAGGGCGGTGGAAGAAGTGGGCGGGCGGAAAATTGTGGAAAATGCAAAATTAGCATGAATACGAAATACAAGTTAAATATTTGAGCAGCCCAAAGGTGTTTCAAGCGCAAAAAGAGAGACGAAACGAGCATAAGAATGGAGCATTAAGAGCGATGCAAAAACCGAAAAACCAGAGCCAGAGCCAGGAAAATGGAAACTGGAAAATGCAGGCGAGCACCGGAGATGCTGGGGATGCAATCATAGAAATTGCATTTGCCGTTTGAGCAAATGGTGCTTGCAAGTCCAAAATGAAGTATTCTGCCGCATAAGCAGAATGTGCCCGATAAAGATTTGCTTTAATTGCTAGCCATTATTCCAAAATGGGATATGTGTATCCGGAGGTCCTGAACTCCTGAATTGTAAACATGTAATCAGTTTCCCAGGCAATAGAAAGTAATGGGAAAATTTCTTACATATCCTTTAAATTAATTTTTCTGAGGCTTAAGAAATGTTTCTGTCCTGATATTTTTTTAATTTAAATTCAAATCTTCCCTTAGTTATTTTCATTGTTTATTTTTCCATTTTCCAATAATACGACCGACATGACAGTAGATAAATAAAGTGCTGATAAAATTAAAAATAAATAAGAGCGCACACCAGCGCTCTAGATAACTAATATTTGATTTATTTACAATTTACCCGATGCATTTGTATTTTTTCGCTGTCTTCCACCTTGTTTTCTTTTCTTTTCCTTGGCTTGTTGATTTGCTGTTTATTCCTCTCCCTCCTCCGCACGCCTTATCAGCAGACTTTGACTTTGGGGACATGTAAATAATTTATATTGTATACTCTGTTATGTGTGTAATTTATGACCGCCGGACTGGCACACTATAAAAAACAAAGAGCGCGAGAGAGGTGTTATATGGTTCTTATCAGCGTGAATGTGGGACGGGTGAACGAGGAGCTAGTAAAATAGTTGGTGCCTGGCAACAATATCAGACCGGATTATAAATGCGGAATTAGTATATATAAAATGAAGGGTTGAAATTGAATAATTGGTTTTACTAATTAAAAAAAAATTAAATCAGAAAAAAAGTTTAAAACATTCGAAAATTAATTTTTAAGAAATAAAACCTATTCAAAATCATATAAATCATTTTTAGTGATCTAATTTAAAATTTAAATTTGTTAAAAAATTGAACATAAGATATTTTTTGCATAAAACACACTAAAATAATTTAGACATTTTTATAAAATTATTAAAAAAATATATGTTTAAATAAACTAAAGTAGAGTATTTTGAGACTGTCTCAGCAATGCTTTTACCTTTACTTAACCTTATTTCACTGCGTTTCGTTTGCTGCTTATCAAGGCGATGTAACGCACACAAGCATAAAAAACACACACATTAAAAAAACACACATACACAGGGAGATAAACGCACACAGGGACACAACTAATTGCTGTTTACTCAGCGCGCAATTTTCTTTTCAACACTCAGAGAAAAAGTTGGGGGTAAACGAACACAGAACGCCGAGGGCCATTGCCCGCGGTGTTCATCGTTGTTTTTGTAGCTGTGTCAACTGCAACTCACTAATCTCTCACTATCTCACAAACACACACAGATACTCACTCATACATATAAACTTCCTATATCTCTGGCGGTGCCATCTTTCTTTAACGTTTTATTTATTTTACCAAGAAACAAATAGTTGCCGCGATGCAAACGGGCGATCATAAAAATTTAATTAACTTTTATGAACTGGGTAAATAGTGGCGAAGAGAAAATGCATTAAACGCAGCGCAGAAAAAACTAGAAAAACATTTACCCAAGACCTCGGGCCTGAAAATACATTTTATTTACTTTCTTTACGATTTTTCATTTGCCCCATGTTTGTTTATTTGTTTGCCGATGTCTAAGCAAATGTTATTTTTCGCCCAGTGTTTGCAAAAGTTTAATTAATACTTCAATGCTAATATTTATGATGACCTAATATACAGAGGAGGTTAGAAAAATAGTAGAATTAGAATTGCAAAAATTGAATTATTAGATTGCAAGTTTGTGATGATAAAGCGAATTTTTATTTTTTGTCTCTCATATTTTCAAGTAATATTATTATAGTAATATAGTTTTTTAGGAACATTCTGCGTAAAATGCGATTATATTCACCATGAATTTAACAATCGCCCTATTTCTTTGCCCCCATCTGTAGAATGTATTTATTTTTGGATTGTTTGCTCTTAAAATGCTAAAAAAAAAGAAGGGAAATGTAAGCAAAAATAATTGGCAATTTTCAATTGGAAATTGCGTGCAAATTTATTTTAATTTTGCACCTGCGTTCGCCGGCAGCCCCATCGATGTTTGCAATGCAAATATTTTTAGAAAGCAAAAAAGGAGGGAAACCCTCCGCCCCCTCACTCACCTTTTTTCCAGGCCGAATGTTTGTTCAAGTTATTTGGCTGCTTCGTTTGCCACCTGGTCCCAGAGATAAGGAGAGGAATTCGAATTTACCAGCTCGCATTGTTGGATTTATTTGCATAGCATTATGCGACACATACCATACATACTATATATCCCCTGCCAAGGTGGCAAATATTATTTCACACATGTGTAAAATATAAATCACTTTATTGCAGCCAATTTGCACAAACGATTTGCTTTGACTGCCATTTTATGTGTGTTGGCCATGTATGCAAATTGTGTTTATTGTCTGCACTCTGCACAAAACTCCCTGCCACATAAGCCACATTAATTGGATGCTGCTGCTGCTGCCTTTTTTGGGCCATTTTTGATTTGTGCCTTTCGCAATTAGCAGGAAATATTTCGAGAAATATTTGTTTGCCATTTGGACCCGAAGAAGTTTTGTTGATTTATTGCAAGAAATTTACGACAGACACAATGTTTATTTATACGGCTTCCTCTTCCTTTGGATTTATTTCCCTTTTCATCAGCCTGTTCGAAAGAAGAACGATAAAAGTTGGTCTTTCGTTGTGTAAATTCATATTTGCACAGCCAGCATTTTAAATACTTGGAGAGCAATGCTTCATTAACTGGGTAAATAAGGGTTTTGAGGCAATACATTTATTTATTTCATAATTTAAAAAAATATAAAAAGTTAATAAATAATAAATAAGTTAAATTTAAATAACTAAAATGGCTTTTTTATAATTTTTTCCAAAATTGAAAAGCTTTCCCTATACAACAAAAAATAGTTTTATATTTGCCCACAAAAGAAAACTCTCTAGTATTATGCAAAAATATCTGACCTGACATTATCGATTGACCTGCCAAGAGCAGCGGAAAACTATTTTTGCCTTTTCCATTAGACTTTGCATCCCTTCGCCACACAACAAAAAATAGGAAAATAAAACTAATAAACGACGAGAAGAAACGACGGCAACTCTTTTATGAACATAAATTTTGAAAGCCTTTAATGGCGAGCTGCCACAACGACAACAACAAATGGCAACCGCAGCTGTTGCTACGAATTTTTGCAACATTTTTCCTCTGTTTTTGGATTTGGCTGCACAAATAAATTGCGCATAAATCGTGGGCAACATAAATTTTACATGTTGCCCCGGCGTTTGCAGACTGAAAACAAGTTGAACCAAAATTATGTGAACGACGAAGCGGGCATAATTTATGCGATCGGATGGGGAGGCAATTAAAATATTTGTGCCAACTAACAAATTTCCTTAATTAAAAAATATTTTAAACTATGCAATTACGAGTTGGAAAAGTGAAATCAACAAAATGTACAGTTTTTAATAAACGAGCCAAACAAGAGTGGGCCAATATTTATCGGTGTTTAACCAATAAAGTTCTAAGAATAGTTATCTTGTAAAGTTGAACCACCCATAACAATAAAAAATGTAATGAATAAATATAATTTGCAATAAATATAAACCATATAATAATATTGTTTGAATATGCAAAACAAATATGGAATTAAGCTTTTACTATAAAAGAAGGCATATTTAAATTAGAAGAATGAACCGCCTTAAAAATCTAAAATAAAAACCGAAATTGGTTTTAAGATTAAATAACAAAATAATAAAAGTTCCCCAACAAAATATCATAAAATCAAGTCAGGAAAAGCAAATCTGCATATGATTTATTTACCAGGCTAAACTGGTAATTTACTATGCTAATCCAGTTTATCAAAAGTTTACAATTTGTTTTGTCAATAAACCCTTAACTAACTGGAGATTCCTTTTTTATTTCTTCCCTGTTTTTCCAGCAGTCACGCGCCCGCAAAAACTCCACCAAAGCAAACAAACTGAATGCAGCCGCTGCATCAGCAACATCGCCTCGTCTAAGTCCAGTGCCGGCAGCAACACTGTTGCCGCAGCAATCGCCAAATACCACAACAGCAACAGGCAACCTGCAGCAGCAACAGCAGCAGCAGCAATACCAGCAGCATCAGCAACTTTTGTCGCAGCAGCAACTCCTGTCGCAGCAGCAGCAGCAACAGCAATATCAGCAGCCGCAGCAGCAACAGCAGCACTTCCAGCAGCAACAGCACTTGCAGCAGCAGCAGCAGCACGCACAGCAGCAACATTTGCCACAGCAGCAGCATCAGATAACCGCACAAATCCAAACCATGAAGGATCAACCGCAGCAGCCCATGGTGAGTAGTCAATCGGTTTCGATTTTCCCCCCTTTAAATGCCATTGACCTTTTCGATTTGTACCCCCTTTTCCCACCCCTGCTATTCAATCAGCTTTGATTTTCATTTCATTTGCCGTTTCAAGGCAGCCCCAATTGCAAAATGCAAAATGAAAATACAAAATACAAAACACAACACAAAAACCCATAAATCCGCATGGCCACATTGCGTATACGTCACGTGGCCCCGGGCCCAATCAATTGCAGCTGTGCAAACAATCACACACTCACACTAGAGCCAGACATCATCACACATACTATATATACGTATATATAGTAGATATAGTCCCCCATTCATTCATAAAGATTTTGTCGATTTTTATCAATGATTGCTAAATGCTTTTGAAAACAAAACCACACACCACGCACACACGTGAGCCAGGTGCAGATAAATTCCAGAAACAGGAAGCCAGCTGCCTGGCAACACAACTTGACTACACTGGAAAAAATATTACATTTTAGGGGGTACACCATACTAAAATTTAATTTGCAAGACATAAAGGTCATAGAATTGTTGGAAACAAATTTTTTTTTGTAGGTTGTTATAAAAGTTTATTTTTAATTTCGTTAAAATTGTTTTCTAAAATTTAGTTCTGGTAGGGAGAAAACATAACATCGATTGGGTTTGTTTATAAAAAAGTGTTTTTTTTTATAAGTGTAATCAAAATGGTTTGTGTTTTAATTTTTACATTTTATTTGGATTTTATTGTAGCCTTCGCTCCCCTTCCATCGCTCCTCACTTTCACTTTCATAACTTTTTCTGCGGGCTTGTAAAAATGCAAATGAAAACGGGTTGAGTTTTTGGGTCTGGCCGACAGTCTGGCTTTGTTTTTTCCTGGCTTGTTTTCGCATTTTATTTTCCATTTTATTTTTTTTCATTGGGGCTTCCTGTTTATTCGGCGAACAAAAAATGTAGCATAATTTGAGGCGCGTTAATTAACAGTGGTGTTTTGTGTAAACACAACCGCCACCGCGGAAGTTGTAACTCAGGGCGAAAAGGAAATTTCTGTTTCTGGCTTCTGGGGTCTGGAGTCCGCCACCAATTAGACTGAGCCTAATTAGGGCACACAAAATATGATTTATGACTGTTGGCCAATTCAGCCCCAGCTTTGGGTACATAATTCATGTCAGTATTTTTATACCCGTTACTCGTAGAGTAAAAGGGTATACTAGATTCGTGCAAAAGTATGTAACAGCTAGAAGGAAGCGTTTCCGACCCCATAAAGTATATATATTCTTGATCAGGGTCACCAGCCGAGTCGATCTAGCCATGTCCGTCTGTCCGTCTGTCCGTCTGTCCGTCTGTCCGTCTGTCCGTCTGTCCGTCTGTCCGTCTGTCTGTCCGTCTGTCTGTCTGTATGAACGCTGAGATCTCGGAAACTACAAAAGCTAGAAGGTTGAGATTTCCCACACATATTCTTTGGCTTCCTACGCAGCGCAAGTTTATTTTAGCCGAGCGCCACGCCCCCTCTAACGCCCACAATCGCCCACTAACGATTTTAAAATGGGTCCTGCGCCCACATCTTTAAAGATTTTCGAGAAGTATAAATGCAATTTTGTTGTGTATATTTATACCTATCAAAATGTAGAAGACATTTTTCAAATCGGACCATTCATTAAAAAGTTATACGCTTTATAAATTGTCAACATATATCTATCTCCCTCGCACTCCCTTTAGCTGAGTTACGATTATTAGTCGGGACACCAACCCGACACAGCGTTCGCACTCCCTTTAGCTGAGTGACGGGTATTAGATAGTCGGGACACCAACCCGACTATAGCGTTCTTTCTTGTTTGAAATGTTTTTATGACCAAAATGTTTATTTATGAATGGTGTTTGGAAAGGAGTGGAGGAGGTAATGGCATTGAGTTCGGGTTTGGGATAGGATTGGGCTTGGGTTAAGTCGAGAGTCTAGACCTGGAATTAATGGAAGGATCAGGTGCTTAATAAGGTGGTCCAAAGGAAAGAGTTGATATGGGTATAATATATAAATTAGCTGGATAATAAATGACAATTTAACAGAAAATTATAATGTTTTCGGAAGAGGAAGTACTGAATTTTAGTAATTATATCATTACTTTTAGGACTTTTAGTTGTAACTTTTTCATATGATATTTATAATTCTCAAAGCTATATATTTAGAAAGATTAAATAAAGTAAAAAAAAAACATAATGTAGGTAGGGTTTGAACTCAGGACTCTTTGAGCATTTTGTTGAAGAACTTTTAGAACTATTTTTAGTTTTTTAAAATATAATTTTTTATAAATGTAATCAAAATGGTTTGTGTTTTAATTTTTACATTTTATTTGGATTTTATTGTTTTTATTAATTAAACTTTTCCAAAACTCTATATTAACAACAAAAATTTAAAGCAAGAATTCTTTACTCCATAATATTTTTCGGGTTTTAAATTTGATATATCTAGTCAGTCGTATTCATTCCTAAAAATAATATAATATATCCTAGAGTCTGGGTTAATCTTTTTCCTTAATAATTATAATTATTCCGGTACTAATTTAATTTTGTTTTTCTATTTTTTCAGGCACCCATGGCCTTCTACCCCACATGGCAGGCGGATCCGTCGCAGGGCTGGCAGAACCAGTTCATACAGCAGATACCACAGAACACACCGGCCATAACGTCCCTGAACTCGCTGGACTTCCAGACGCAGTCGTATGCGTATCCCTCGAACGGCTACGTGCAGTCGGGCCTGGGATTTGATCCGAATTACGGGCGATCTCCGTATGCGGCGCCAGTGCAGCGCTACGACTTTCAGAGTCAACAGCTGTCCACTGCTCCGTCGGCCATCAACCAGGTGGGATTTGCACCCACCTACGCGGGTCAGGTGTCCGCCGCCCCAGTGCCGCCGTCGCAGCAGCAGCAGCAGCAACAACAGCAGCAGCAGCAACAGCAGCAACATTTGGGAGCGGAACTGAACAAGACGATGTCGTCGGGAAACGACACGCCTGGATATCCGCGGGTGAGCAGCGTGCCGCCGCGCTCACTCAATTGTAACGGGTATTCAGGCGATTACAGCGGTTCCCCAACCAACAGCAACAACAACAACAGCAGTAGTAGCAACAACACCACCAGCAACAACACCAACAGCAATTCCACCACAGTGGTTAGTGGTGGCACCACCACGCCAGCACCACCACAACAACCACCCACTGCGGTGGCCCAGCCCGCCTCCTCGCCCATGCAGCCACCCATTCAGGCGGTGCCCCAATCGCCGACGCGCAACAGCAACATGTTGCAGCAACAGCAGCAACATCAGTCGCCCACGGGCAACGGGCTGCAGCCCTACGTTGCACCACAGCAGCAACATCTTGCCACCTCGCCACCCATGCAGGATTGGAACTGGCAGCAGCAACAGCAGCAGCAGCAGCAACAACAGCAACAGCAATCCCTGGCCGCCGAGGGTTATGCCTCCCAGGGCGAGCGACTTCATCTAAACACCCGCATCAAGTCGATGATTATGCGTAAGAGCGATCCCAAGGATCCGCCGCCGGACTTGCAGCAGCAACCTGTGCAGGTGCAACAGCAGCAGCAACAGTCGGCGGTGCAGCAGCAACAACAGACCGGTCATTTTTTATCGTATAGCCACCATCTCCGGCCCGAAGCGGCGCTGAGCGCCAACGGACCGAGCAGTGCCACGCCCACCCACCCCATGCAGCAGCAACAAGTGCAACAGCAACAACAGCAGCAGCAGCAGCAACAGCAGCAGCAACAGCAGGCTGTGGGTGGTTCAGTGGCCGCCGAGCCGATCGGAGGTGGTGGCGATCACATCTGGAAGCCACACCATGCCAACTCCTTCAAGAAACCCAGCGTGGTTAGTGGCTATCCAGGAGCAACGGCAGATGCCCAATTGCAGCTGCAGTTGCAGCAACACCAGCCAGGACAGCACACGACCATCAGCCATTCGGTGGAGCCGCCATCGGCGGTGGTGGTGCCACCACAACAGCAGCAACAGCAACAACATCCTCTACCTGTGCCTCCAGCTCAGCCCAAGAAATCGAGGAGTCGCAGCAAAGCCAGCAGAGCAGCGGCAGCAGCAGCAGCAGCAGCGGAAGCAGCGGCGGAGATCGATAGAGATCGCAACTCCACGGATCCAGGAGGTGGTGGTCTGAAGCCTTTATCTGCTCACTATCCCCCGCATCCGCATGGAGGACCAGGACCAGGAGGACCTCCCGGCCAGGATTACCATTCGCAGTATATCAAAACGGAACCCGGTCTTCTGGGACCCCCGCAACCCAATAAAATGGAGGGTTACGAGCGAAACTACCAAAACTTCATACAATATGCGGACTTCTGTCAAAATGATGGTCAGGGGCAGCCGGTGCAGCAGCATCATGGTCATGGTCAGCAGGATTACGCCGGCTATCATCACAATTCCGCTTATTATGGAGCGGGCGCCAGTAGTTTTCAACAGAATTTCCAACAGAATTTCGTACCGGGATACCAGCACTCGACTTATGGAGGAAGAGGTAAACCACCAGGTAGTCAACCCACCCATCAGATCCACGGACATGGTCAGAGTTTAATGGAGCTGGACAGAAAACCCGATACGAATAGCATTATACCACTGCCCACGAACTATGAGAAGGATATACCCGCCTATCCAATTCCGCCACATCGATATGCGTTGGGTCACGGGGCGCCACCCCATCTAAGTCACCACGGGATGCTGGAACCGAAGATCGAGGACATGGGAATGCTGGGACATGGCGGGGGCTACGCCTATCTGGGCAGCGAGGGAAAACCCCTGAATAATGGATTCTCCTGCTGTCGACAGGGTGGCACAAGGCCGCCCACCGCCGAGCATCTAAAAGACGGAACCTGCCTGGGATTGGGTATTCAACCGAAGGAGGAACTCATCGACGAGGATGAGCTGATCGATGCCCATGGAAATGGTCTGAAACCCATAGGTGGAGTGGGCAAGGCAAAGGGAAAACAGAAACCAGATGAAATACCCGAGATCGTGGTGAAGCACGAGAAGATCAACCCGCTGTTCGATACCACGGATCGTTTGGAGAAGGGCAACAAGACCGAGATTCCCGAGTGCGAGTGCTTCCAGTCAGACAAGAATCCTCCGGAACCGGGCACTTACTACACGCATCTAGGTGAGTTGATCCTAAAAACTAACTAACTAATATTTAAATAAATAAATCATAGTAAATATAGTAAATCATCATACAGTAAAGGAAAAATTTAAAATAATAATAAAAAATTCTGCTGCCAAAACGGCTTGACATAAGCATTTAAAAAAAAAACCGAAATTAGAAAAGAATCTTTCACAATCTTTAACAATTGTAAAGCATTTAGAATGATGGTTTTGAATTTAAAAGAATTTTTAATTTGCTTTCCAATATAAAATCTTCTAATTATATTTAAACAAACTAATTTATATCCATTATCCATTCGCTAAAAACTAAAGACTGACCTTATTTATTAACTAATGAAATCACCTTAATAAAATTCCTTTAATTTTTAGGCACGGCCTCTTCTCTAATGGACTTACGAAGAGAATTCGAGGAGCGTTGCAACCTCACGGGTCGCCAGTTGAGGATCGAAAAGATCGTCTACACGGGCAAGGAGGGCAAGACCTCGCAAGGATGTCCGGTGGCCAAGTGGGTAATCCGAAGAGCTGATCTCGAAGAGAAGATTCTGGTGGTGGTCAAGAAACGACCGGGACACAGGTGAGCTTTTGTTAATATAATTTATTTTATTTATGGTTCTTAATATTATTTTTTTGTATTTTACAGATGCATAGCTGCTTATATTGTGGTCTGCATGGTGGCCTGGGACGGAATGCCTCGCTTGGAGGCGGACAATGCCTACAAGAATCTGATCCCGAAGCTCAACAAATACGGCCTGCCCACCACGCGAAGATGTGCCACCAATGAGAATCGCACATGTGCCTGTCAAGGTATTTATAAAATATATAAGATATTTTTAAACATTTAATGAATATTTTTTATAATTTTTTTCCAGGACTCGATCCGGAATCGTCGGGTGCCTCGTACTCCTTCGGCTGCTCCTGGTCGATGTACTATAACGGCTGCAAGTACGCCCGCTCCAAGACGGTGCGAAAGTTCCGGTTGTCGGTGAAGAGCGAGGAGGCGGCCATCGAGGATCACATGAACCTGATCGCCACCCTGTTGGCGCCGGTCTTCAAGCAGGTGTGTCCGCGTTCCTACGACAATCAGACGAAGTACGAGCACGAGGCCAGCGATTGTCGCCTGGGTCTGGAGCCCGGGAAACCCTTCTCCGGAGTCACCGCCTGCCTGGACTTTTGCGCCCACTCGCACCGGGATCTCCACAACATGCAGGATGGCTGCACGGTGCATGTGGCTCTGCTGAAGCCCGGCAATCGCGATACCCGCCTACCAGACGACGAGCAGTTCCACGTCCTGCCGCTCTACACGATGGACGGCACGGACGAGTTCGAGAGCGTCGAGGGTCAGAGGGACAAGCACCGCACCGGGGCGGTGCAAATGCTGGACAAGTGAGTGTACCGTTGAGTTTTGAGCAGCAGCTCCCAGGCACTTGGAATGGAAATCGAACTTAAAATGGGGGAAATTAAAAAAATATTTATAATTCTTCAAGATTTTATTGTTATAAAAAGAAAACAAAATAATAGGAAAACAAACAAGTCGTTTTTTGTCGCACTTAGCGGATGACTACTGTACCTACTCAAACGTAGATTGCAATTTTAAATTATTCCCTTATTTCGGTTTTTTGTTTTAGATTTTTAAGTCAAACCGTTTTGGCTGCAGTTTCAACTTGCCGTTTTTAAATAGCCTTGTTTTATAGTATTACAGAGCTTTTATTATTGACAATATCCATCATTTTAGCTCGATTTTGGTTCCGAGTGTATTTTATACCGAACTATGCTAATACATACCCTATAATCCCATAGATTCCCCTGCGAAGTACGCGTTCGATCCACACCTTTGATACCCTGCAGAAGACATGGCAAAAAGCGAAAGGACGGCGACGAAACGGCGCCACCGGATGGCGATCAAGATGCCGTGGGCGATGCGAATAGCCAGAGCAGCTCCTCCAACGGAGCCCAATCGCAGGCCAACAACCAGCAGAGTAGTCCACCCTCTTTAGGAGCACCGCACATCAAGAAGGAGAATGGATCAGGAGGAGTGGCGGCCAATGGAGCGACAACCGCAGGCAAATCAAAGGGCAAAGGGAAGTCGAATCAGTCCAATAACTCCAGTGCTTCCACGCCGGGATCAGCGCCTCCCTCAACGCCCTCGCCCAGGTGTCAAACTCCAGTTACGAATAATCCCAGTCCCGCGGGCAGTGCTTTCAGTACGCCACCCGTACATGGTTCCAATCCCAGCCAGAATTCCCAGAGTAATGGCAATCCAACGGGTCAGCAGCAGCAGCAACAACAACAGCAGCAGCAACCCGGTGGCCAACTGATGAGCTCCAATTCCAGCCTCATGAACATGGCCACCATGATAGACACCTTTACGGATGCCCAGCTCCAATCGAATCAGATCTCAAGCACGGTCCTGGATTCCCCGTACTCCTATGACTATCAAACGGGTTCTTATATTGATTCGAGGAACTACTATGGCCAGTGGCCAACGCCGCATGCGCCCATGGGTGCCATGCAGGTGGGAGGAGGAGCACCTGGAGGAGCGGGAGCACCAGGAGGCGTTCCTGGAGCAGTTCCTCCCCTAACGCCCACCACGCCCTCAGCTCAGCAATTGGGTGTCCCTCCTCCAGTGACTTCTGTTCCCGGAGGAACCTCTACTGGAACCGGTCCCTCACCTCTGCCACCCACAGCTCCTCCCTCTGCGATTACACCCAACACCCAGCTAGAACCGAGCAATGGTTATGGCAGCGGATCGTATCAAACTTTGGTCAGCAATCCAGGATTACAACCCTCAAATCCCACGGAAGTGCAGCAGCAACATCAGCAGAGTCAACAGCAACAGCAGGCGGCGGGCTTAACGGGAGGTTCCGTGCTACCCAGTAATCTGCCTGTAGGAGCTCCCGTTGACCACCTGGTCAAGAGTCGCCTGATCAGCGAGGAGAATCCCGATTCGACGACCCTAGTGAATCACCATCATCATCACAATCTGGCGGCGGAATCGAAACTCACCGCCTTGACGGCCATGCAACCGATGACACAGCTAGCTCCGCTGACCACCGCCTCGCATCATCCGCATCCACATCCGCAGGAGGGATTCGTGAAACCGAAGCCGCCGCCCAGTGATTATACGGCCCAGTACACGGCTCAGTATCCGAATAACTACCAGATGTACCCGCCTCCTCCACCGCCTCCCCATTCCGCCTACTCCGCCTACGATGCGTATCAGAATATGAACTACAACTATGGTTACCATCATCAGGCGTACTCTCCCTATGGCATGTATCCCCAGCAGACGCCTCCTCCAACGCCACCGCCTCCTTCACCCAATTGGAATATGTACGGTCATCATCAGGGGGGTTCTGTTAATTCCGGCTATGGTGGCAACCCGGGAAATCCTGCTGCCGGTTCCCTGATAACCACCCATGGCGGTGGCGTAACCCCAGCGGGTGTGGGCCTCCAGAAACCCATAGTTCCCATGCCTGGACCACTGCATCATCAGCAGGTGCAACAGGTGCAGCTGCAACAGCAGCAGCAACAACAGCAGCAGGAGGCGCCACAAACGATATTGCCCGAACTGAGCAACTCGGAGACCATAGCCACCCCTACCCCTACTCAGGAATCCCCCAGCAATGATGGAGGATCGGGAAACCAAGGTGGAGGAAATCAGACACCCACGGATGTGGCGCCACCACCTCCTCCAGCTGCCTCGCCGGGAAGCACCAACTCGAGCAAAATCGAACCCATTGGCGAGGTGGCCGAGATCAATGAGAACATCGAGGCCTTTGCCGATCCCCAAATGGGTGGAGTGGCCATTGCCCTGAATCATGGCAGCGTCTTGATTGAGTGTGCCAAGCATGAGATGCATGCCACGACGGCGGTGCGAAGGCCAGATCGTCATCATCCCACGCGAATGACCCTGATCTTCTACCAGCATCGCAATCTCAATCGATGTCGCCACGGGATCGACGAGTGGGAGGAGAAGATGCGGGTGAAGAAGATCAACACGGATCTGGATAACAAAGCCAAAGAGGAGCGCGAGCGGCTGATCAAGAAGGCGGCTGGCGAGGATCTGGATGAGCTGGACGAGGATGCAATGATGGATGAGCCGCCGGCGGTCATTAAAAAGGAGGCCAACGGTGGGCAGCTGAAAAACGGAGCCAGTGGCAGTAAGAAAAAGAAGAGTAGCAGCAGTGAGACGAAGAAGAACCAATCAAGCGAGCAGTCAAAAAACGAGAAGGTTGCCCTCCACGCACCATCAACCACACTGACGACCACGTCGTGGACGACCCTGTTCCCCATGCATCCGTGCGTGGTTTCGGGGAAATATCCGGAGGGCAATAGCAGTCCAACTTCGTCCACGAACAACGCCGCTACCAACGGTGGGCAGCAGCAGCTAGCTCCGCCTCTTCCTCCCCCTGGCAGTGGATTAATCCACCCACCACCCACTGGCACCGCAGCTCCAGTGCCGCCCACTCCGCAGCAGCAGCAGCAGCAGCAGACCTGAATCTCTTCAGGCTGAGGGGCTACTACTGGTAACCAGAAGTATCCCTAATCTTAAGCACATCCACACAAATCAACCCTGTTCGGGATTTCAAAAAACGTTGATTTTGAAAATATTTAAAAAAGGGTTTTGGGAAAAAGAAATGATAAATTAAAAAGGATTTTGAGATTTTCCAACACCATTTTTCTAAAGTTTCAAAAGTTTTTTTTCCAAAAGCTAGATTTAAAACCAAAAAATTTGAAAAACAAATTTCAAAATGAAGCGATGTTTCGAAATTTATAGTTTTTTAAAATCTTTAACCCAAACCCTTTAAATATTTCACACAAAACGCCAAAAACACACAAATCGAATTCAAATCAAAGAACAGGGTTGTATGACTGAAAATTCACTCAAAGCTGAGAAAAGAAAATCGGAGAAAGAAGAATTATTTTTGTAAATGCGTTTGATTTCGTGTGCCATAGGAGAGGAGAGTACGAAAGGTCCCCAAATAAGGAGTTGCAGTTAAAGAAAAACCAAGTACAGTTGACGCTGCCAGGCCAGAGTTGTCACCATTCCACAAAAAACAGAAAAATCACCCAGATACATCACACACACTTTTCACTCAGCAAAAAATCACACAAAAATAAAAAAAGTTTCTATACTGATCAAATGCAGTTAGTTTAAAATCAACTATTAACTTTAGTTTCTTAAGAGCCAGCAACAAAACGATTTCTGTTAAATGAGTTATTTTTTAAAGACAAGCAAAATGCAGACTACAGAACAACCACAAAAAACGAATACTACTAAACAAAACAAAAAACTAAAAGAAAAAAGTCATATTAAGAGTTAGTGGAAGTTACAAAAAAGAAAGATCATTGCCAAAAGTACAAATAAACCATTTTTTAACAAGCAAACTAGAAAAACGTAAAGAATTTCGCAAGACAACAAAAGAAAATAGTTGGTAACAGAGGAAAAAAGCAGTTTTTACAAGAGAACTACACTACACAACAAGAGTTTTAAATTTAGTTAAATACCCAATTTTTCCAACAATTTGACTATCCTTTGGGATTGACTCCGAAAATTGAGTGGCAGTGCCAAACGAATTTAAATTGTACGAAAGGAACAAATGGGGAATTTCTCTCATTTACACTGAAAGAAATTCCCCATATGCTCAGCTGATTTACCGTTAGACCAGACCACAAGCAAAAACAGTTGAAAATGGTGCGAGCAGGACAACTAGAACTACAACTAGAGAAGAATTGAATATTTTTGCGCAAGTGAGAAAGAGACAAACAGAGCGGCACACGCTCGGTGAGAAAGAGACGAACAGAAGGGAAATGTAAGGCAGCAAGACATTTTTTAAACTTTAATCATAATTTAAAATAAGTTTAAGCAACACACACACGAAAATACACATGCAACACAAAAACGAAAGTTAAATATATATTTATTTATGCGCAAATCGACGGCAAATAAGGGGTTAATTCTAGTTATTATTATTTCTGCAAGATTTAGTTTGAAAAACCCAAAAAGACTCGAAACCAATCAAGTATTAAGCACTAAACAACCAACAACTAATACTAAACTTATTTGCCTAACCATTTGTAATTGTTGTATAAAACTCAATTAATAATTTGCATCCATCCAAAAGGTAAAATATTAAAAAATTAACGATTAGAATGCAAATGTGGCAGCGCAACTGAATTTCAAATCAAATTAGTCTACATATAAATATATTTTGCACAAAATAAAAACAAATGAAATGAAAGGATAAGCAAAAACGGTTATTGATAATACGATTTTTAATTTGACGAACGGACATATAGATCGTATGAAAAACTGTACGTAATGTAATGTAAATGTAAGGCAGCGAAGAAGACTTTTGAGCAACAAGAAAAAACATGTTTTGATAAATATTTAAATGTTTATATAAATATATATATATATTAATATAACTTATGATAATTGATTAACTGATTACGCAAGCCAACAACTATTATAGTTTGTAAATGCTTTTTTTATCATTTTCAAATAAAAGCAAATCCTTTGCCATCATTAAGTTACACAAAAAAAAAACTAAAAACCCCAAAACCGACTTTTCAGTTTCGCGGGGCGCTCGGCGTGCACCTTATACATATATTAACTATACGTATTGGCATATGATAAAGCAGAAACAAAAACCAATTAACACTGAGCAGCAGCATAAGTAATAAGCGGAAATCAGAAATTAGAAATCAGAAATCAGAAAAGAGAACAAAGATAACGCACCTGATTTGCGCGACTTTCAGGTGCGCGAAATCAGCGAGAGATACGATATTGCGATGATACATACATATTGTAAGACGATACACACAAAACCGAGAACGTATATACAGATTGTGAAGCACGAAGGTCGATGGATGAGAATAAAAACAAAAAACATAAATTATATTTATTTAAAGTACGCGCATGGAAAGCAAACAGATATTAATATTAAATAAAACGAAAACAAAGTTAAAATCGCTATTTTGTATTTTTATTTTACGGTTTAAGAGGGGGTTTTTATCCTTAGGATCATATATCGTATTTAAAGCTGATCAAGGTATGTATAAAAAGAACGATTTTTCATGTCAGCCACAGCCAAAGGTGAAAATGAATTTTCAGTTTTTCCAGTTTTAATTATCGGGGTTTAATCGAAAAACTTTCAAGTTACTCGAATATCAGTTTTCTTTAAAGAGAACTTACCTATCCATGAGCAGTTTTAGGGTGCTGCGTCTAAGGATAAGCAGCATAAAAATTAGAATTCCAAAACTTTGTTTTAAGTACAATACACAATTATAGAACTGGTGAAAGAAATCGTACTTTCTCAAAAAATAAGCGATGTGCACAATCCAAATCGCGCCCATGATAACAGAGAGCCGCAAAAACATAAGATAACTAAAAAAGAAATATGGAATGTAAATTATGCCGGCTTAAAAAATTGTGAAAAGGAATACTTCTTACGTCTTAATGTCAAAATTAATGCATTTTATTGTTCTCTTCTCATCTGCTTTAAACTTTCTCTGTTCGCTCTTAACTTTCCTAATGTGAATAACCGTTAGAGTAAACATGATCGCGTTAAACATGTTTAGAGTCATTACTGGTCCGTAATAGTATATCCATTCAGAATATCCATGGTCCTGATCTGAGGAAGAAAAATTAAATATATGGTAAGGGCTAAGAAAAATTTGTATTTAATTCAAACCTTCCACCCAGCATTTCGAATAGCCAATTGATGGAATCCAGTTCCATTTATGGAGATCCCCATCCCAAGCTTCATTCATTACAATAACAACTCCTGTTGGAATTGCAGCCATGAACCAAGCAAAGGCAAAGTATTTGAGAAACTGATAACAAGGTTCCTCACAACTCATAGACGTCAAAAATTTCCACAAATGAAAGCTGATGACAGACAACCAGAGAAAGTATGCCATTTTGAATAAGTATCTGATGTAACCTGACAAAAGTATTATTATTAAGATCCAATCCGAATTTAATTAAACATCTTACCTGCTAATTGGCAAATATGGTTTAATAAATCAAATATATCCAGTATGTTAATAACATTGTCCGTGAGCATGCAGAATAAGGTACAAATGAGACACTTGCCCAGGAAATTCCGAAGCTTCTTAACGTAAAGATACACTAACAATGTGAGTATGTAACATACTATGGATATCACCTTGACTGAAAGTACGGAAAAAAGAGAAATGAAGGTAACAGCGGAAGTCCTCAATTTATACTAGTGGTGGCCAGCAGATGCAGCGAGCATGGCCCATGGGATAGGCAGTTTCTCTGCCGCTGCGCTGCTATCGTTTCGACGCACACGTACGCTGTAAAACTGCTTCTGCTGGCCACCACTGATTTATACATTTCATTACGCTCAATGCCCCTTGGCAGCAAATATTCCGTGCACATGTGTTTTACAACCCAAATGGAATTGGGAAAATCCGAGTTAAACTGCGGATAGAGGCAGTACTCGTCCTTGTAAAGTTTCTGGTCGCCGTTAAAGAGTAAGGTTCTATTCTAAGGAGCTTTTATTAGAAACGTCTTTACTGTTTTCAGATTGCTGGGCAAACCTTTAGTATCCGGTACTCATCTTTCTCCAGTCTAAACACCTCGTCACAGAAATGGAACTGATCCCTTAGCACGAGAAACTCGGTTAAATTTGACAGTGGCTTCAAGTCAAATGCGTCACTTGAAGTTAGATTAGGCATCGATAAACTAATCTTATCATTAAAGCCATCGTTGCACTTTCCATGTGCCAACATATTTTTTTTGGGGCAGCAGATTCGAACACAGGGCATCAGTTCACAGACACAGGCTCTTAAGTGGGGTTTCACAGGCTCTGCAGATCCGTCTACTAACTTTTTATATTTATACTCCGCAATGAGGTTAGAAGGAATTTCGAGGCCTTGATATACGTAAGTATCGTTGACTCTTTTCAAATCCGAAATATCAACGGTATCTAAATAGTCGCAGTTCGGAATATCAGCAGTTGAATTCCCGACAATAAGAATTGCACTTGTAACGAACAATTTAAAATGCAGATGCATTTTTTATGAAGTGACTTTCACCACGAAACACTTTCAATCGACTGAGGGTTTGCCTGGAAAACTGAGCCCTGTATTCTTAGTCCCCAAAAATTAATCTCAATCTCAACCAGTGAGTTTTCAAAGGGGCTTTGATAACAAGTAAATCTTATGGAATTTATTAAAAACTCTCTTGGGACCCAAGATCAACCAGCTGATATGCCGCATACGCCAATAATTCCCTTTCAATTTTACAGTAAACTATTTATATAAGCAATATTCAACAATATAAAATACGAAAAAAAGCAACTATGTCAATGGTTGCCCAAATTTTTTGTATATAAAGGGTTTACTGTATTATTTTATAATCAGGAGTTAATTGCAAAAAACTACAAAATCGCAAGTGCGTAAAAATGTCAAATTTAATAAAAATAAACTAGAATTTAAAGATAAAAGAAAATAACTAAACTTTTGCAAGCCGAAGCTTGTACACCCTTGCAGTTAAATTACTTACTTACCGTTTAATTAACCTTATTTAAGAGCTGATCACATTGAAAGTGATGATCAGTACTGGTCCATGTGGGTATATCCATATGGTATATCTGTGGACAAAGAGAAGCATCTACATAGTAAAAGCTCAGATAAATGTATATTTAATGTAAACCTTTGATTGCAGAACCATCTAAGGGCATCCGATTCCATTTACGATGGTACTTTTCCCAAGCAAAATGCATTTTATAAATGACTCCTAAAACAGCAAAATTAGCATCGTTGTTACGTATTACAAAAAGTATTTATTTCAAGTACTATTTATTTATAAGCACTTCTTTTTCTATATATAAGAACCATTTAAATGTAAATGTCCTTATTTCTATAAAAGCTCCTTCACCCTTTATATGAATATTGCTTTAAAAGAAGGTTCAGATAATAAGGAATGGTACGTGGTATGGAATGGTATGGTATGTGCAAATTAATTTAGATAGACAAAAATATGAAATACAAAAAACATTTGCAAGTATTTCGAGCTTTATTCAAATAATTTACAATGTTTTTGAAATTTTTATAAATGGAACAATTATTATCTGTTTCTCAAGGGCAAAAATAACACCGTCTGGATACTATTTTGTTTATCTTCCCCGAATTCTGCTGGATCAGGGAACTGGTTATTGGAAAATATATCTGAGAGCATAGCGAACTTACCTCTCCATGAGCAGCCTAAGGGTGCTGCGCTTAAGGATAAGCAGGATAAAAACGATAATTCCAAAACCGTTTTCAATATACATAAAAAAAATATAGACCTGCTCAATAAAGGTGTACTTTCGCAACAAATATAAAAAATCCAAGATCCAAATCGTGCCCATGATAACAGAGATCCGCAAAAACATTAGATAACTAAGAAGGAAATTTGAAATGTATATTAGACTGCTTACAAAATTATGAAAAGGATAAGTTCTTACGTCTCAGTGTCAAAACTGAAGCATTGTATAGTCCTCTCTTCATCTCGTTTAAACTTTCTCAGTTCGCTCTTAACTTTCCAAATGTGAATGACCGTCAGAGTAAACATGATTATATTAGAAAGGGATAAAATCAGTATTGGGCCCTCTAAGTATATCCAATAAGAGAGCCCCCAAGCTGTAGACGAAAGGAAATATGTGGTAAAGGCATAGATACATTTTTCTTTAATTCAAACCTTCCAGTCTGCATCCAGAATAGCCAAGTAAGGGCAACCAGTTCCATTTATGGAGACCCTCCTCCCAAATTAGATTCATTACATAAATAGCTCCTGTTGGAATCGCAGCCATGCCCCAAGCAAAGGCATTGTAGGTGCCGAACGAAGAAGACTCACTTCTATTAGTCAATAGTTTCCACAAGTGGAAGCTAATGACACAGTCCCAGATTTGATTGACTATCCCGAAGAAGTATCTAATGTAACCTGACGAAAAACTATGAGTGTTAGTAGATTGTCCTATTATTGAGATCCAATCTGAATTCAATATTAACAACTAACCTACTAATAGGCAAATGCGGTTTAATAAATTCAATGTATCCAGTAAATAAAAAAGATTCAGTATGATCCAGCAGAATATGGTAGAAATAAGACACTTTCCGAGGACATTCCGAAGCTTGCTAACGTAAAGATATACAAACAATGTGAGAATGTTGCATATTACGGATATGGCCTTTACTGCAAGTACAGAAACAGAGAAATTAAGGTAACAGTGGAAGTCATAAACTAATGTATTATATTACTCTCGAATATTCCTCGCATTAAATATCCCAAACAATTGTGTTTAACAACCCAAATGGAATTGGAAACGTCCGAATTAAACTGGGGATACAGACAGTAAGTTCCTTTGTGCCAGATTTGCTTAGCGTTGTATAAAATTAGGGATTCGTCCTAAAGAGCTTGTATTAGAAAAAACAGTATATTTTCAGGTCGCTTGACAAACCTCCAATATGTAATCACTCTCATCGAGGCTGACCATCTCATCGCACATTTCAAACTGATCCCACAACTTGAAATACTTGGTAAGCCACTCTACGTTCTGGTAATTTTTTGACTGTATGTCTCCTAACGTTAAGTTTACTATATTAAGAGTAATCTCATTATTAAAGCCATCGTTACATGTTCCGTTTGCTAACATATTTTTTCGGGGGCAGCAGATTCGGACACAGGGCTTCACTTTACAGACACAGGCTCTAAGGTGAGTTTTCACAGACTCCGTGGATCCGTCTTTTAACTTCCTATAATTATACTCTGCAGTATAGTTAGAAGGAATTTCGAGGCCCTGATAAATATAAGTATCGTTGACTCTTTTTAAATCCGAAATATCAACGGTATCGAAAAAATCACAGTTGGGTATGTCAGCTGTTGAATTGCCAACAATTGCAATCGTAACGAACAATCTAAAGTACAGAGACATTTTAATAAATAAACTTTTTAGCACAGAGAGGTAAACTCGACTGAGTCCCAAAATACAAGGCTTGCAGCATTTAAAGCTTTGCCTCGAAAAATTAATTACTCTAGAAATTAACAGATATAAAATATTGCCAAAAAGCAATCTTAATCATGCCCATGGTAATAATTTAAATTAACAAATTTAAGATTGAAAGTGCACTTGGGACCCATTTTCTTCAGACCCAAATTATGCATTTGTAGAAATAATGCAGTTTTCTCACTAAAACCACGATATCAACAAAATATTTTATGTTTCCTACAAGATCTAATTAACAAGGGATTAAAATTGAGACTGAAATAACCATTTTTTCTACCACTAGCCTTTCTTTTAAGTATTCAATGACGTCAGCGTATAACAAATAAAATCAAATACAGTGAAGTTCAAAAATCAACAAGCCTACTTCATACCGTAAAATATATAATGTTTACACCCGTAAGTTTTTATACCCTTTCGATAAGACATTTATTTATTGTTAATGCTGTTATGGTGGACCGAATCAATAAGAAGCCGTTATGATTTATGTCAAATTTATGATTCAAACATATCAACTTGATATGTTATCATATCATATAAAATACCAAATTCAGTATTTTAAGGGAAAAAAAGCCAAGTTGACCAGTATACCCAAAATCTTCGCGGCCAAAACCATTCTTCTCCAGAAAAAGTCATTTTGCAAGGCTTGCGCTCACTATGATTTTTAATAATAATAATAATATATTTCGAATTTTGTTTAAAACCAAACAAAATTCCAAAACAATTGGAATTACTTTGAGATGGACTATTCATAAAGATACACACGGCTATTGCTTAATGGAAATGTGCGCTTGAGTCGGGGTAAATTGTAAATGGGCCGTAAACAGCCGTACAACCTAACTAGCCTAGTTATTTACATCGAAGTTCTTTAAGTACATGGCAAGTGTTACTATCGTTAAAGGTTAAAGGCTGAGGACGAGGTCCTGCGAGTAGTTGTCCAGCGCCGTTTGATTGTAGGAGCCAAAGTTCCAGTGCTGGAATCGATTCTCCGGATCGCATTTGTTGGCCACCACCTCCTGTGAGAAGGGCAGCAACTCCAGGCACCTTCTGCCCTCCGTTCCGTGCTTCAGCAGCTTCTGGCGGTAGTCGTAGTACCAGTACTGATTGCCACCCTGCATATGACAGTCCCACAGCCAGACGGGCGCATTGGCATCCCAGATCTGTACGTCCAGGCACTCCTTCTTTCGCCTCAGCCGCAAGTCTCGTTTCCAGCTCAGCTCCCAGAACTGCGTCCGCTGCGGTATCTTTATATCGTTGGCACACTGATACATCCCCATCTTGTTGTGCTTCTTCCGGCCCATCGTGTCCAGGCAAAGGTTCGTATTTCCCACACTCTGTATGGCGCCCATGGCATACGAGGGCGGATCTATGGGCGGATAGGTCTTCATCAGATCAAAGGCCACCTCCTCCATGAACCACTTGAAGGACTTGCACTTCAGCTTTGTGCGAATGGCCTTCTGGGCGGTCAGATCTCCAGGATCCACACTCTCGTACAGTCCATCGCCGTGGCTGTACAGGTAGTTCTTGTACTCGTCCATCCAAACCTCCGCAACGCGCTTGTAGTTCTGGAGAAACAAGATGGAAATATGTTAATTATAAAAAATAATAATTATTCTGAAGAATAAGAAAGGTTTTTATGTTACAAACAATTAAATTAACTTAGAAAAGTTCACAGGAAAAAATTGACAAAAGATCAGATTGACATGTGCTGGTCAATTTTCATATCATTTTGATATGAATAAAGATTATGTTTATCTTATTTTACACTATTTATTAAAAAGATACTAAATTTGGTATTTTTTTTGAAATGATAAAACATTAAGTTAATATGTTTAAATCATAAATTTTACATAAAACATATCGGCTTTTTGATTGATATCAAATAAAGCAGAACTGACCCTATTTCATATAGAATTTTTGTTTCTGTGTAAAAGAAGTGCAGAAATCAGCTTTGTTGGGATCTTTCCGCATTGTTTAAAATAAGTTTTAACAACCAAGTGTCAAGTTCATCGCCCTAAATCTTCATAAGTAAACATAAGTAACAAATAAAGATATCCCACCAAGATTATATTGGTGTAAATATCTGCTTTTATATTTAGCAGCAACATGCCAAATTTACTGCTTAAAAAAAATTTCATTCTTGCAAGTTAAAAATTACTAAATTTTGCTAAATTTAAGCAGTTAAACAGATAAAATAAGTTTAATGGAGTTCGTAGTAAGACGAAGAAACTAGTTTCTCTGTCAAAAAACAAATTAAAGGGCGTGTCTTCTTGATGATGACTGGAATTATATGGCTCATTTTCAATAACAGGTTTTATATTAGATCGTTTAGAATTCTAAAAGTATAACTTTCTTTAAGGTTTCATAGAGTTAGTCCCATCTAAATGGCCTTCTTTTTATTCCCTATCTACTCACCTTGTGCAAATAGTCGCCCTTCCTGGGACTCGGCTGATGGTTGCGAGGCCCGCGATATATATGACCGATGCGAGAGCACGGAGCATCGTACATCTCACCGCCGCACATCCAGATCTTGAAGCTCAGCTCGTACTGCTCGCCGCCCCAGATGTCCAGACCCTCGTCGTAGCCGCCCAGTTCCCAGAAGAACTCCGTGGAAATGGCAAACAGACCGCCGGCCATGACGGGACTCTTGAAGGGATCGGCCGGGTGCTTGAGATCCTCCTCCAGCAAAGGCAGCCGTTTGTAGAAGAACTCCCAGTCGAAGGCGCCGCGGGCTCCCTCATCCTGCGCCCGGTAGTTGAAGTTCTTGTGATCTATTACATCGATAAAGGGACAAACGGCAGTGCGTTTGTTGAGGGCAATCGGTTCCAGCAGCGGTGGCAACCAGTTGTAGTTGGCCTCGACGTGCGAGTCCAGGAAGATGAGCACCTCGGCAGTGGCATTCCTAGCGCCCGCTGCTCGCGCGCCAATCAAACCCGTGCGCTTTGGCAGCCGCACCACGCGAACCCACTTGAAATGCTCCGCAATGTAGGCCTCCAGATCGTGACCCAAATACTCCCGATCGCTGTGATCGTCCACTAGGATTATTTCCTTCAGCAGCTCCGGCGGCGAGCGGTTGATCAGGCTGTGAACCGAGCGCATCAGCACGCTCAGGTATTCGTTGTAGAAAATTATGATCACACTGACAGTGGGCAGCTTGGTCACGTACTCTTTCTTGCGGCAGCTGGAAAAATAGTTGAAAAAATAGTTCGAAATTTTTAAAAAATAGGTTATTGTGTTAGTAATAAATAGGAACATTTTTTTAACGATTGCGATAAGCTATAAAATAGGAAATCGCGATGTTTAAATATTCTTATGTATTTAAATATTTTTTCCAGTTCTATACGATTTATATAAAAATGACAAAAAAAAATTATGTTGTCAAATAATTGAGTTTTTCTAGATATAGTTTTTTTATAAATGAATGGGAAAGTTTCTTAGAACGGTTGTTATAATCTCTAAATAAGCAGAACACACTCTTCAAATAGTCTGCTTTATAATTTTGTTTATAAACTATTTTTAGATTTCCATAATAAAAATGTAAATAACAGAAAACAACGTTTTTTATCGCATTATTATCACAATAAACGTGATATGGAGCATGCTTGATGATAAGCTTTTCTGCACATAAAGAGAAATCTACATTAATGGATACAAATTTTGAGAACCCAAGTCTTATCATAGCTACTGAGTTCCCCAAAAAGTTATAATTTATAGAGTAAAACTCACAGAGGATGACGGATGTCGGGCAGCGAGCGGTTGACCGATATGGAATCCGAGAGCAGGGCATTAAATCCGTTTTCCAGGGACATGCGTTTCTCCAAATCCCGCTGCGATTCATCGTCCAGCGTGGCGGCCTTGCCCTTCTCGCCGAGACCCACTCGCTTGGCATCCTTCTCCATGGCCGTGTAGTCGTGCCAATCCTTCTTCACCGAAGCATCCGCCGGCGGAGCCATCTGTAGCTCCTCCTGTGGCTGCTGCGCGGGTTCATCGTCCGCTGGTCGCGGATTATGGACCTCCGCATCGCCTGGTTCCGGTTCATCCACCTTTTGCAGCTCGGGATCCTCTTCAAAATCCGGTTCCTGTTCCTTTTTAACCTCTGGCTGCCTTATAGCTGGCAACCTGGGCTGCACATCGCCGGAGAGACCAGCATTTTCGGGCATTGGCTCCACGCCACCATGATGAACGGGCTTATTGGTGTACGGACTGGAGGAGATCCAGCTGGTGATCACTATGAAGAGTGTGAGGGAGATCAGCAGCAGCAGCGAGGCCTTCACTATCCACTTGAGATTGGGTCGCCGCATCTTTTCCGGATATCCGTGGCTACGTGGTCGCTGTAGAAATCGCTATGTGAACCATTAATACAGGTGATATTGGATTGTTAGCTCAGGTGTTTGCTGTGTTTGTCTTTGTCACTGCAACGTGGTTTTTCCTCAAGAACTGGAAGTACATTAAAGAAATATACAGAAACGTTGGCACATACATACATATATCTTTTTCGAGTGGCACACATTAAATAAGAACCCAAAGATAAGCAGACATTTTCCCCGAACCCAAAAGTTGAGATAAAAGAAATGGTTTGGTACTTCCGCTTGGTAATTTACCTTATCTCGCAAGTTCATATGTTATTTATTACAAAAATAGGAATTTTGTTAATTAAAGCTTTTCAAATAACCGGCAAATCTATATTATTTGTTTATAACTCCCGATTTTATGACTTTTTTTCTAATCAGGTGAAACGTCATCATCAGCAGGTGAGTTCTGTTCTTATCATGGATTTTCATCGGCTTTCTGGCAGCTTATATTCATTCTCACCTGCTTAAAAGTATGTTCCACTCAAGCGTTCCTCCGATCTGGGTTGAATAAACTAATAACTTCTAATTAGCATAGCAAAACAAAAGGTTGCTTCCACGTCCACGGAAATTCGGACTTTTTTTTGGCTCTGTTCTTGGCGCTGTTCTAATGCCGTTCGCCCGGCAGCGCCTTCACCAGCCGCAAAAAACAGCTGTTCGGGCATTCGCCTGGAAAGAGGGGCGCCGGTTGAACGGGGGTTCAATTAAAAAATAAAAAAATTTGTCTTTTCAAAATTAAATATAGAAATTGAATATTTCTAACAATTTACCTAATTTAAAAATGTCATAATCATTTAAAAATTTTACATTAATTTTTTTTATATTTAGGTGCCTAATTAAGTATTTGAATATCATTTTTAAGCACTGAAAACGTGTTTTAAAAATTCCTGTGTAAGTATTTGCTGTCTTTTAATTACTAAATATTTGATTTTTTAAATTGGAAAAATTTGCCATAATTAAGTATTTGAATGTCCTTTTAAAATATTGAAAATTGGTAATTATTAAAAACTTTTTTCTTGATAAGTCACCACATTTGTGACTTACAAGCAACCCACTTAAAAAACCACATAATTCTATCGATAACTTTCCTTTTTATTAAAGTTTAAAGTTAAAACAACAGTTCTCTAAGCAATGTTCAGCAATTTCTTGACCTCCTCCTTGTATTTGCCCAGGTTATACTCGTTCTCGCCCTCGTTAATCAGTTGCTCCACACAATCGGCATACGATTTACTCGGAGCCACCTTGGGCGCTCCCTCCTTGGCGTTCCAGTTGAGGATTCCCTCGGCGGAGAGCTTCGACTGGTTGCTGTCGAACAGATAGACCTCCATGTCGGCCTCCGATTTGCTGGCCTCCCAGGGTTCGGTGACAAAGGATTCGTGATAGCAAGCGGTGAGTAAATACAGAGCATAATCGTAGTTTTGCTTCTTTTGCGGACACCGATCCGTGACAAAGGTGAGGATGTCCGTCTCCTTGTTATAACGATCGCCCACGAGACGCAGGAACTTGTCCCTGGCATGCGAATCGAACTTAAGATCCGAGAGTTTTAGCTTGATGGTGACCTTCCGGGCCTCCGGATTCCTGATGGTGGGCAAACTGTGACAAAAGTCCGTGGTGGTGACCTCGACGGGGAAGTGACGCTGCCACTTGGCCTCCGTTTCCAGTCCTTTGGGCCACGGCGTGCAGAATTTCTTGATGGCTTCGCATTGCTGACGAATGGCCGGCGGTGTCAAATGCAGAAAGTTGGGTATTTTCATCAGCTCCGCGTTGGCGAATTTCGATGGGGCCGCCGCTCCGCGTTCCGTGAATCCCTGGCGAAGTGGCAGGGGGACACTGGCCGGATGGAAGGAGCGCGGTCCTGGCCAAACGGCCGTCCAATCCTGATCCACCGCCATGCGTCCGGTGCGCGGCGGCGTGATGGGATCCCTGCGCACCTGCTGGCGCCGCTGGAACTGCTGCTTCACCGTCCGCAGACTGAGCACTCGGAATTCTGTTAAACATATCCATTAATTACTATATTTTCCGTAGAAAAACCCCTTTGTTTACCTTCATCGTCGTCGACTTCTGGCTGCTGCTGCTGCTCCTGGTTGGAAAAAACACGGATACTGCTCTGCGCCGCCTGCTTTTTGAGTGGCAGGCGCTCCCACAAGCGAGTCAAACTGGCCGACATGGTTTTCTACTCTAATTTGTATTTAGAAATATATTTTTTTATTGAAAAATCAAGCAATTTATGCGGCTTTTACGTAAACCATGCGCCTCAAACTGCCATTCGCCCCGAACAGTAAACGTGATCAGCTGTTCGCAGGGAAATGCCATTCACAGGTGAATGTTTTGTAGAAATCCCGTTAAAAAATAACGGTTTGAAAAAAATCGACCGTTATAAACATAGAATTTAAATATTTATTTTGTGAAATTATTTATCTCATCTGTATTAAAGACTTAAATAACATCAACAATCCTTTATTTACGCTGTTTGTTTGTGGTTCTTTCAGCGTATGGCCGCACCTTCTTCCGTTTTCCCCGAATTCTGCAGAAACAAGGAACTTGTTATTCGAATATCTGCCTTATTTACAGAGCACTTACCTTTCCATGAGCAGTTTTAGGGTGCTGGGCTTCAGGATAAGCAGCACAAAAACGATTATTCCAAAACTGCGAGTTATGTACATGGGAATAAATTGGATAGACTCAAAAAAACCGTTGCCGCCCAAAAAAGCCATGAAATCCAGCATCCAAATTGCTCCCATTATAACGGAGAGTCGCAAAAACATTAGATAGCTAAAAATGAAGTTTAAAACTTTTATTACACAGCAAAAAAAATTCTTAAAAGGATTTCTTCTTACGTTTTAGTGTCAAAATTGAAGCATTGTATTGTCCTCTCTTCATCTCGCTTAAACTTATTTAGTTCGCTTTTAACTTTCCAAACGTGAATGACCGTTCGAATAAACATGACCATACTAAAAATGGCTATAGTCATTACTGGTCCTTGTAAGTATATCCAAAAAAAGGGACCAAAAGCTGTGGACCAATGGAAATATATGGTAGAAGCTTAGATAAATATTTTCTACCCTTTAAAGATTTCAGCCAGAAGTTTGCAACGCAGTTAAGGAGACATTTCCGACTCTGTTTTGCAGCTATCATTTCCTAAAATAGTTTTTTTTATGAATCGGAATAAAAATTTCAAACACACATAGCTTTGGTGCTTTTCGACAATGTATCTTCTAGTCTTCAGAATATAATTTTTGTAATATTTCAGAATTTGGACTTCAATTTGAATTTAATAGAAGTGATCTGCCAAGGTAAGTATACTTTGACTTGCCGAGGTTAGTTTCCTTTAAAAATTTTAATACTGACCTTCCAGCCCACATGTAGAATGCCCAACTAAGGGCAACCAGTTCCAATTATTGAGATCCTCCGCCCAAACTAGATTCATTACATAAATCAATCCTGTTGGAATAGAAGCCATGCCCCAAGCAAAGGCACTGTAGGTAGCAAAAGAGGAAATATCACTTCTATTCGTCAATAATTGCCACAAATGAAAGCTGAGAGCAGAGACCCAGAATTCCGAGGCTATCCTGAAGAAGTATCTAGTGTAACCTGACAGAAAAAAAAACAAAATTGAGTAATTTGTACTGTTATTAAGATTCCAATCCGAATTAAATGTAAACACCTAACCTGCTAATAGACAAATGTGGTTCAATAAATTCCCTTCATCCAGTACAACGCTAAGGTCATTCATGAGCAAGCAGAAAAAGCTAGAAATAAGACACTTGCCGAGGAAATTTCGAAGCTCTTCGACGTAAAGATACACAAACAATGTTAGGATATAACACATTATGGATATCAGCCTGACTGGAAGTGCAGAAACAGAGAAATTAAGGTAACAACAGAAGTCATTCATTACTGCATTTTATTACTCTCGGTTTGCGCTGGCACCACTTTTTCCGTGCAAACGTGTCTGAGCGCCCAAATGGGATTTGAAAAGTCCGCATTAAACTGTGGGTAGAAACAGTAATATTCTCTGGGCCAGATTTCGCCAATGCTGTATATAATTGGGTATCCGTCCTAAAGAGCTCATATTAGAAATGTATATTCTGTGTATTCAGATCGCATAGAAAACCTTTAGTATCCGGTACTCATCTTCCCTTAGGCTGATCATCTCATCGCACTGTTGGAACTGTTCTCTTAGCACGAACAACTCGGTAAAATTGGACAGTGGCGCCTTTCTTACCTCCTCAAGATTTGGATACAAATTACCTGCTTCATATACAGTTATGTTTAACATTCTAAAACTAATCTCCTCATTAAGGCCATCGATACATTTTCCGGTTGCTAACATATTTTTGCGGGAACAGCAGATTCGGACACAGGTCTTGAGTTCACAAACACAGGCTCTTAAATGGGTTTCCACCGGCTTAATTCTTCCGCCTAAAAACTCCCTATGACTATACTCCGCCGTTCGATTTGCGCTAATTGCGATGCCATTATATAGATAAGTGTCGTCGATTCTTTTCGCATCCGAAATATCAACGGTATCGAAATAGTCACAGTTTGGAATATCAGATGTTGAATTCTTCACAATTATTAATATTAAAATGAAATACTTAATATACAGAGACATTTTAAAACAAAAACTTTCAACACGGAGATGTTAGCTCGACTGATTTCGAAAAAACAAGATTGCTGCTTTTAAAGCTTAGCCCAAAAAACTTGTTACTTTTTAGCACTCGCATGGGAAAATAAACTTGGAATTTTGCGAGTATAATAACGTTGTCTAAGTCCCTGTGGTTTTAAATTGTTCGAAATTAAAATTCATTAAGGGCTCTAATGGCAATCCTCTTAATGTTAAGTAAATCCCTGTACACCAATTTTCCTTTAGACGCGATCCATGCGATTATAATAATAATGTTGGAAGTAATTCGAAGCATTTTTTTTTAATTTCTGATACTTAGCGACATGGAAACAAAACTTTAGATACTCTACGTGATTTAGATTAAAGATTATATTAAAAAAATATATATATTATATATAAATATATAATATAAAAAAGAGACGATCTTTCTTTTATATACACTTTTATTCAGGTAAAATAATAAAAAATATAACTTTGATGTACTTGTAAAATATGGCTAAAAAGGATAAGTTGAATCACACCCAATGCGGAATCACCGTTCGGGATTCCGAGTTCCGAATTCCGAATCCCTCGTCTCTGTCTCGTCTCCTTGTGCCTCCAGTGCTCCTTACTTATGTACATTGTTTTGTTATTAGCAAAAAGAACAATAGAAAACATTATGTTACGCGCTCGTAAGCCCCGTGAACTAAAGCTACCGTAAACCTAATCGATATTGGTTATCCTCTAGTGGATCTCCTGCTTCCACTTGTCGCGCGCCTCCAGCTTTGCCTCCGGCACCAGCGAGCTCTTGGCGCCGCCGAGGATATTCGTGGTTGCCTGGGTGGCCAGCACAGCGGGACAGACGACCAGTTGGGGTATCTGACGCACCACCGCGCCCACTGCTCCACTGTAGCCCTTCTGGTCGTGCTCCGTGATGGCCGCTTCGATGAGTGTGTTGGCCGATTCGTTGATCCCTTCCCTTACAATCGTATAGGCGTTGGCCACGCCCTCGCGCAGATCCTTGGGACGCCCCTGTCGTCGTCTCCTCTGCTTTCCCTGCCTTCCACCCTTTCGCTTCTTCATCGACGGACCAGCGGACAGCATATCGAAAGTGGTCTCCGCCGTAAACTGCAGCAGGTGAATGATCCTGGACGTAATCTCCAGCGCAGCCAGTGCCGTTCGTGCCGTAAAACTCTGTGCTCCCAGCTGGAATCCGCGGATTATCCTTCCATCCTTGTTGTACTGCTCAATGGGCAGGCGGAACAAATCGTAGACGCCCTGGAAAAGTTGCAGCACTGCATTCGTGGGTCCAATGCCGCTCAGGATATTGGGCAACTGATTCCGCTTGATGTCCTTCAGCCACTCCTTGGCCAGAAACTCGCAGAGCTTGCTCCATCCAAGGATGCCGCGACGATTGACAATTTCTCTTAGATTTATTCCCGATCCTTGAAGCTGAGCCAGGCCCATAATTAAGCCAGTTACTGGTCCACGCGAGAGCTCAATCCGCCGGCCATGATAGTCGAAGCAAATGGGCAGCGCCGGACTGAAGATGACCTCGCGGAAGAAGACGGGCGGCGCTGTAACCGGATCCTCCTCCAGTTCGATTTCCTCGATTAGCACGTTAAGATTGCGCTCCACCATCTCCTTGACCTCTGAATCGGCTAGATGATCCTCCTCCTCCTCTGGAAGTTTGTTAACCGACATCACAGGCATTTCAGCGGAGGAGGAGCCACTGCCCTCCGGTTTGCTACCACTAGTAGCACTGCTGGAATTTCTGAACATGCCCGAAAAGAAGTCCTCTAGGAAAAGCAACGTATCCTGATCGATATTCAGCTTTATGGGCAGTATGGAGACCCTCAAAGAGCACTCCTCCGCTGAGCTCTTCTGCGGATTGGGCCGCACATTCAAAGCCTTCACAATCACCATGTTCTCATCCGGTTTGTGGGAGAAACTACTGCCCGTTGGGTGGTACAAAAACTTATTAATGTCCGAGGAGCGCAGGCGATCCCTGATTTCGATCTCCGCGACGAGGAGCACCTGGCGCGAGGAGTACATGGAGGTCAGCGGGTAAATTTCGTAGGAGAAACGAATCTTGGAGAGCTGCATCTCAACCAGAACCTCTAGGTTACGTTTGGAACCCCTGGGCTGCTTGGCCAGGCTTTTCTTTTGCTCCTGCGGCTGCGACACTCCATATTTGTACGTATCCGACATGCCAAAACCGCTGGAGGCGGCGGAAGATCCCGATTTCTTCAAAGGTTCCTCAGGGAAATCTCTGCCCCCGTAGAGATGCCAAGTAAAGGTCATCTCGCAGAGGGTGTAACTGCTCTCGGCGAGGGGAAAATTAGCTGGGGGCCTCAGCAGATCCACCTTCTCGTGCGGCAGCTCAAAGTGATTGTCGACAATCTGCAGGGGATCGTCGGAGATGTAGATCTGCTTGATGCCAAACTTGTCCATGCGCGAAATCTCCTCGTCGCGGATAATGTCAAAGTCGCGCTCCTCCATGGCAACTCCTCCTAATGAACCCAGTTCCTGCTGCACCTGGGAGTTAAGTGAGGTTTGCGGTTCAATTTGACTTTGTTGATAGTAAGACTGCAGTATCACATTCGATTCAAAGTCTAGGATATCACCAATTACCGAAGGGCTTTCAACCATCAAAGATTTACTTTGTAGCTTGACAGGCGTGGCTTTCCTCTTCTCCTTGGGTTCATCTGGAAAGTAAAAGATCTCGATGCCTTCCTCTCGGCTTCCCGGAGTTTTAACAGCCTTGGGTGGCGAACTTTTAACATCCATCACCGCCTCGGCCATCAGTTTGCTCACATGATTCTGCGTTTGATCGTTTATTTCCTGCTCCTCGTTGGTTTTGGGTTCTGCCTGCTTGGTTTCCTCATTTAAGACAGGCTCCTCGGGCGGACTTAAGTCCCGATCGTTGGCTATATAGGCTATCAGTTGAGCCAAAGCAGCAGCGGAATCGTAGCAGGTTTTCAGGTGCATGTCGTGTATAGAGGAGCGCAGATCCACGCGCGGCTGTCCACTGCCTTCCCCATTCAGCCTAAAGGATATATTCAGCAGTCCCAGATTTAAAACAGGTATCAAAGCATCGCTTGAATCGCTAATTAAGCCGAGGTGAAGCACACAATCCTCGGCGAGGAGGCGCAAAGTGCAGCCACTCATGGAGGAGATGATATTGCTGCTCAAAGTGCAGTAGCCCAAATCAAGAAAAGCGCGCTGGGGGAAGAATTTCGGGCGATAATCAATCCCCGCATTCCACACATGCAGTTGCAATTCAGAAACCAAAGCAAAAGGTTCATACTCCTCGATGGGAAAGTCGGCAACGTCCATAAAGTCCATCAGTTGATTCAGCCACGTGTGTTCCGAGTGGCAGGAGTGGTGCTGCAGGATGGCCCCGCTGATTCCAAAGGACATTTTCATCCTCTTGATGCGCTGCTCCGGTTGCTTCTTTATCTCCGCCACCAAAGAGAGAACCTCTGCTCTTTTTCTCTCCTGTTTTTCCTGTTGATCAACTGGGAAATTGTAGATGGTGGGCAGCAGCTGCTCATCTTTCGCATCACTCCAGGCCAGCTCCAAATCCTGCATGGTATTCCCGCAATGCAGGGCCTCAATTTCGCCCAGTTGAATGCAGAAGAAACTGCGATTCGCATCGTTATCCAAACCATTGACTGTAAACAAGCGCAGCTCCTTTAGGTTCACCTGGAACTTGCCGCATTCCGTGGAGCGCAGATTGGTCTCGGAATCCAGTAAATGGGAGAAGAGTATCAGATTTCCCTGCTCTACGAAAAGCTCGAAGGAGAAGGCTTCATTGCGAAGGGGTGGCGATGTTGGTGCGGCAGAAACTGGATTCTCCGCCATGGAAAAGTAAATGCTGCTCTCCATGGCACTCGTGCTGAGCAGCAGGTTCCTCCGGAAGTCCTCCAATTGAGGCTCCGTATCCAGGTGTTTCTGATCTCCCGATTCCTCTTCAGGATTCCGGTCATAATGCGGCGAACGTGGCTCCCACATGAAGAGATCTCCATTCAGCCGGTTGTAAATCAATTCGTACATGCTCTTCGATTCCAGCACAACTTTTACCTGGGGTATAAAAACAAAGACTTTTAGTTTGGATGACTGCGTGCAACTATCGCAGAACTCATTGATTTCCTCCGTTTCTCCAGGCAGCAGGGAATCCGTCTTGTCTACTCCCCCATCGAGTCCCTCGACATGCGAAGTGTAGCCAAAGGTACATTTTGAGCTAAAGGGGGATTTTCTCAGGGGTTTCTTCTGACTGCAATCACTAGTCGTTTCCTTTAGCTGCATTATATCAATTTGTATCTTCTTCTGTTTCTGCTGGCACTTCAGCAGATGCACAGCCGTCTGCTTATCGGCATCACAGTAGAACGCATCCAGTTCATCCGAAACAATGCTGATTTGCGAACGGCAGGTGATCGCTAGGCAGCGAAACTCCAAGGCCAAGAAATCTCTTCGCACATTCTTCTGCCACCAGGGAATCTTCTGCGGATCATTGGCTGCCCTGCCATCCACCACGGGAAATCGCAGATGCAACCTCAGATTCTCGCACTTTACACTAAACTCCGTTTGGCTGGGATCTTCGGGATAGGAGGCTGCATTCGCAGAGTCCCTGGAAAAAGGTGAGCAGCCAAAGAGAGCTCCCAATCGATCGTATATAGAGATATCCAATTCCGCCGTGCACTCATCCAAACTGCATTCAATTTTGTTACTGCAACGATTGTGATTCTGCTTGAACATAAACGAGGAGCTCTGCGTGATGACGATCTCCGGCCGAATGTGATAGCCATCCGGGCAGTTGCGCTGCCGATCGAACTGCAGCAGGTGCTCCATGGAGCTGCCCAGCACCTCGCAAAGATCCACCGCCGTGGCAGAAAGCGTAGTCCGCGAGGTGAGCTCCTGGAAGTAGCGCTGTTGGCTTCCACCGACGATTATAGGAGCCGCCCGCAGCAGGAGATACTGCTGCTGAGGCAAAGGCATGTGATTATCGAGCAGGGTGGCCAAAAAGAAGCCACTGGCAGTTTCCGCGTAGCGTAGATAGCTAGCCTGATCAAAGACAGTGCTGCAGCTGTCGATATTCGCTGTATTTTGAATTAGAATGTCTTGATGCAAAGCTACACCGTAGATCTTGGATATCTGAACCTTGAACTTGAGTATCTCGCCGGATTTCTCCGTGTAGCCCAGCTCCTGCTGGAGGGTATTCGTGCAGGAAGTGAGCATGCTGTTGCTGGACTCACTCATCTTGCGACTGCGCGGGTAAACGCTTCTTGGGGCTCCTCCGTAGACGGAATATTCCGAGGGCTCGGGTTCCGACAACCCAGTGCACCAATCCGTTGCATTTTGGCCGAGGATACCCGTCATTCTGGTAGCCTGCTGCTGATATTCGCTGCCTGCCGCTGATTTTAAGCTCCTGCTTTTCTTGGGTCGCTCCTGCTGTCCTCCTCCGCCGCTATTGAAGCCCTTGGAGAGCTCGATGAGCAGGTGTATCTGCCGTGGGGTGATCATAAAGTAGATGTCATCGAGGCTCAGTTCTAGATTGACTTTTGGCCCCACTATATTCTCCGTTTGCTTGATGTTGATCTGTATATTCTGCGCCCCCTTGAGCTCCACAATCTTGCAGAGCTGCTCGTAGGGAGTGGGTCCAAAGCGATGATCCAGCACATCCAGAACCTCGGAGGTGTGCAGGCTAAGTCCTTCGATTACCAAATTATGCTTGGCTATCATGGGCAAAGCATTGAATGCTCCACTGGGATCTACATCCTCCCTTTCAGCTTCATTTTCCTGATCCTGCGACATGGAAGACATCATTTCGTAGCCCGTCTTGTTCTTGTACTCCACATGGCTGGCCTGCAAGGAGAGCACCAGTTTCCTGTCCGATCTCGGCAGCAGATACTCTATATTGAGTGTAGTATTTGTTAGCTTCGCCTTGATCCGATTAAGCACATTGTCAATGGTTTCGGCAAACTTTTCCAGGCCAATCAAGGCGTTATTGTGGTTGAGAAAGGGCACATCATCGTCCACCTGCTTCATGCACTCCTCGGCCATTTGCATGGAACTGGAGACGGATGACCACATGGACTCCAGCATGGTGGTGCCGCTCTGGAAGCGGGTAACTGGTCGCAATGTGATCGTTAAATTGTGAATCTCCAGGCTGCTATCATTTGTCATCAAAGCATTCCAGGGCACCACGACGGTTAGACGACCTATGTGACCGGAAACCACCTCGAAGGCCCAACCCTGATCCTCAAAGAGATCATTAAAGGCATTAACTTTCAAGAATATATCCTCCACCACCGCCTTGCCATTATAGAGATCCACTTTCAGCTGCTCCAGGTTCAAATTATTCTCGAAAAACTGGCCCAAATATCGCTGCAGCAGGTAGCGACACATTTTCGTCTTCAGTCCATCCCAGGGATTAAACCACGACATCTTGGTGGTTTTTCCTACGAAGATTTTCCTTTGTGCGTTTTAAAATTTTCTATTTTTCGTTCCAGCGCAGCGCAGCAGCAGCAGCAAAAACAACAACAGACCTTTGTTATTGTTTTCTGGGTGGGCGAAGGCGAGGGCGAAGGCGAAAGCGAGAGAAACGAAACAAGGAAACGGAAAAGAATTGAGAATTGGGGGGCTAAAATTGATAAGACTCCCGGGGGATATTGCTTACCACTCACATTTTTCGATTCGCGGCGGCGGAGGGCGGCTGTGGGCGGGCGTATATGTGCATTATTTTAGCTAAATAATGAATTAATAAAGCGCAGTTGGGTGACCATCAAGTTGGCCCTTGTTCTTCTTCTTCTCGTTTGGTTGCTCTGCGTAGTGTGACCGTACGTCGAAATACCAAGTGTTTAGGGCAGTGCGGGGAAGGTGTGGAAACTGTAATCTTAAAAAATAACATTAAAAATTAATTAAGTTAAAAATATTTAAAGATTCGAATGATTTAAAAAGTTTATAATACGAATTTATTTAAAATATATATCCAGGTTTTGAAAAGTATTGAAAAATGCACTACCTCAACAGCTACTTATTATATTTTTCAATTTCTATTTAAGTCTAAAAAAAAGGTATTGCCCCATTTTAAATCATTCTTTACTTAAAGATTGAACAAAACATATTTTCCATACCCTTATTGTTTAAAAAAACCAACCTGTTGATATTAAAAAATGAATTAAAGTAATTTTTCTTACCTTTTTTAAGTACTCTATTCTTTGAATTAATTTAACATAATATTTAACAATTTAAAATCAAAAAATTAATAGCATTTATAAACTCAATATAATGCCCTCAAAATGCAAACCACCTGTTGCTACCCTGTTAAAAATAAGGTCATACTTTGTCCAGTATTGGAAAACGCAACTCCACAGCTGTTTGCAAAGTTCTTAATTATTTTTTTGATTTGCTTGTTTTTCTCTTTTGTTTTCTTTATTATTAACAATTATTATGTTTATTTGGCAATATTTCACACTTTTGTGCCTTGGTTTCGCCACCAACGAGGCGAAATCCATCAAGAAATCGCATGTTAACCTGTTGGAGCCAACTTTTGAGCTGGATGATGAGAAGCTGGTGAAGATGGGGATTTCCCCGCCGGACATTTCCAACGAAGTGCAACGTGTGCAGGTGCCATCGAAAGATCCGCCACCCGGAAAAGATGACTGGACGGGCAAGTGGTTTCCGCATCTACCAGGAGAACACCAGGAATCCAAGGAAAAAGGAACCACGGAGGAGGTTCCTCCAATGGAATCCACTACCAAGAATAATTGGGGCGGAAAGTGGTTTCCCCAGGCCCCAGGAGAACCCCATCTCGTGATGATGTCACCCAAGGACCAGAATCTATCGACCAACTCCACAACGAAAGATAATTGGCAGGGCAAATGGTTTCCCCAAGCACCGGGAGAAACCCACTTGATAAGGAAGAAACCGCTGGTCGAGAAGAATCCGGAGGACACTAAGGATAATAAGATACCACACGAGGATTGGCAGGGAAAGTGGTTTCCCCAGGATCCCAATGAGCCACACAAAACTAAACAAAGCATTTGCGATGACGGCAAGGTGAGTTTATTAACAATTTTGATATAAGGGGTATTCCCCTAAAATATTCAAAATTATAATGTTCAAAAGTAAGGGAAATTCCCCTTAAAGAAATAGGTCAGCATTTTATAGCTTCAACAATACGCTTTAACTATTTATTCAGACCTTATTTTTAAAAGAAATATTACTTATTTTTAAAAGAAATATTACAAAAAATTATTGAAATTTACATACTTTAACTTAACTTTACAATTTCCTATATAAAAATCTTGCGACACTATGTATTATAATTATATATATTATTTTATGTATATATTACCTATATGTATCTTTTAAAATGTTTAAAAGATTTTCAAAAATTTGTAAACTAGTTTTAAGAAAAATTTAGTTTTTTGCCAAGAGTAATAAAAAGAGAGCAATTTTTAAGAAAGTAGAAAAGTTTTAATGATAAAAGTCTCAAATAACTCATGTTTACGCTTCTCTTCAAAATTCAAAGAATATCACTTAAAAAATATCTAATTTAATTTTTAATTTTTCCAGAGCAACCTAGCCGTAGATTTCGATCCAACGGACATTCGTGATAGCCTAAATTACCTGTGCATCAGCAGCAATCGCAGCCTGTACCAGCCGAACCTGACCAGGGAGGCCGTTCTCACGGAGCACTTCCTGCCAAGCGCCTATTTGCCGCCAGCCAAGTGCCTCAACGAGCCCATCAGTTACTCCCACCTGCCAGCCACCAAGTAGGGAATATATATCCTTATTTCCTGATAGTTTATAAACTTAAACCTTTTATTTTTAGTGGCCCCTATCGACCGATGCCCGCTGAATATGGAACCTACACCTATCTGCCTCCCCAGCGATATCTTCGCAACCTGGCAGAGGGAGCCATCGTGATGCTCTACCATCCCTGCGCCTCTGCGGGCCAAGTGAAGCAGCTGCAGGACCTCGTGGGCGGTTGCCTGTACCGTCACTTGATCTCACCCTCGCAGGCTCTGAGTCCGGAGCGTCCACTGGCCCTGCTCGCCTGGAGTCGCAGCCTGGCGATGTCCGTCGTGGATCGCCGACTGGCGGCCGACTTCATCCAGAAGCACGCCAAGTGGGGACCTCTTGCTCCGGAGGAAATGTCGCGGGTGGTGGACAAAAGGCAGACCTACAAGGAGGGTCTGCTCACGGAAGCCCACTTGGTCACCACGGCGGATGACTACGAGGTGTGCGGTTACCTACAGGAGGAAATGTAGGGACAACATGTTAACTATTTGTTTGTAATAAAACTCGAATAATTTTGCCAATTTTGCGCTTTTTAATCTTAAGCCTGTAGGGTATTTGATCTTTTAAATGGGTATATAAATATTTATTTAAGAATTAAGAATTTTTTTTCAGTGGAAATCACTGGATCAATTTGTTTGGCATAAATCAAAAACTTAAAGAACGCACTAAAAATGCGTGCGCATTGGGTGAACTTTATTTTTTGATAACATTATTTAATTCCCATGTCGCTAGTTATTGCTTTTTATTACAATCGCAAGGATCGGGTCTAATGGGGAATGAGTGCACAGGGATTTAGTCTAAAATCTAAATTTTTTTCCCTTGCGAATGCTGTTTATTTAAACGTAACTTGTTTTTGGGGCTAGCCTTAAAAGCAGAAAAGTTTGCTTTTCGGTTTTCAGTCGAGTTTTCTTCTTCATGTTGAAAGTATCTTTTTTAAAATGTTTCTATATATAAAAAATTTTGTTTTAATTTTAATAATTACTATTGCTAGAAATTCAGCAGCTGATATTCCCAACTGTGATTATTCTGATACCGTTGATATTTCGGATTGGGAAAGAGTTAACGATACTTATATACATAATGGCATTGAAATTAGCGCAACTCGAACGGGGGAATACAATTATAGGAAGTTAGTAGATGGATCCAAAGAGCCTGTGACAAATCACCTAAGAGCCTGTGTTTGTGAACTGATTCCCTGTGTCCCGATCTGCTGTCCCCGCAAAAATATGTTGCACAATGGAAACTGCAACGATGGCTTTAATGAGAAGTTTAGTTTAAACATGTATAAATTAATTAAGAAAAAACCTTTTCCCTATAATGGCGACTGGCTCATCCGAAGAGATCAGTTCCCAAGGTGCGATGGGATGTTCCGCCTGAGAGAAGGCGAATACATCATGCTTACGGTTTGTCTTTCGGTCTACAAAATTTTTCTGCATTTCTAATGAAAACTCCTCAGGACGGAACCTTAATAATCGTTAACCCCATCAATGGCTTTTTTAAAGGAAAGTACTGCCTCTACCCACAGTTTGATCCGGACTATCCCGAAACAATATGGGTTGATAAGCATTGTTGCGATACCTCAGTTCAGCGGAATTACATCGAAAGTAAGTTTAAGCTTAAGTTTACTAACATAGCGGAAAATATAAACGCAGTTTTGTTTTCAAAACCTGATTCTTCTGATTCATCAAAACGATTCTTCTGGCTTGGCTCGCGTTGGTATATTGTAGCAATTTACAAGTTTGGTGTATTCAATTTATTTAATACAGTGAAAATAAAAATGTAAATAAAACATACCATTTGAAATACAGCCAGTTCTTAATTGAAATTTTTAAATCGCTATAATACCCAACCGCGAGTTAAGCTAAGCCAGAGGCAATCTACATTTACATTTCAAAACCATAAAAATGTTGCACATTGTAATTAATAAATATTACCTTCCGTTGTTATGTTTTTTTAACCGTTTTTAAAACTTTCAGAGTGGCCTTCCCTAATTGGCTGTATCCTCACATTACTGGTGTATCTTTACGTTAAGAAACTCCGAAATGTTCTCGGCAAGTGCATTATCAGTTTGATCATATGCAGACTCTTAACGGATTCCGAAGAGTTCGAATTGAATTGGTTTAACCCATTATGCTTATTAACAGGTTAGACGTTAAAATTAAATTCCGGGCTATGATATCCAATGTTGTACGGTAATATTATATTTATTAAACATTCGTTAATTTTTCTCAGGTTACAGTAGATACTTCGTGGAGAGGGCTTCTATTCTCTGGTTCTCTGCCATCAGCTTCTATTTATGGAAACTTTTAACGTCTATGCGTCGTGAGGTATCTCGCTATCAGTTTCATAAGTACAGTGCCTTTGTGTGGGGCACATCTGCCCTTTTGACAGGAATAATTTATGTAATGAATCTAGTTTGGGAGAAAGATCTAAGTAAATGGAACTGGATGCCCTTAGTGGGCTATGCTGAATGCACGGTGAAAGGTTTACATTAAAGATATATTTACATACGCTTTCAGTATATACATACATATATCCCGCCCTCTACAGTTTCGCGTCTGTCTGCATGGATTTACATTTTGGGACCACATCTGATCCTCGCCACTTTTAATATGATCATGTTTATTCTGACGACTATTCACATTAGAAAAACCAGCAGGGAACTGCAAAGATTTAAACAAAATAGGGAAAATACAATCACCTGCTTGAGTTTTGACTACGAGACGTAAGAAATAGATTCTTTGGAATGTTCAAAGAAATAAACTTTCCAAATTTCGATCTTAGTTACCTAATGTTTTTGCGGCTTTCTGTCATCATGGGCGCTGCTTTTATCCTGGATTTCACTATTTTGGTCAAAGACAGTTTTTTGGACCCGGTTTTTGTGGTTACCTCAGTTTTCGATAACCACTTTGGAGTTTTTATTTTCGTTCTGCTTATCCTAAAACGCAGCACCCTAAAACTGCTTATGGAGCGGTAAGTCCTCTGTGATTAAGACGATGCTCGAATAACCAGTTTCCTTTTCCAAAAGATTCCGGGCTTGCCGGTAGGAGGTTGCTCCCAGGACTAACGAGGCCAAATTGTTTCTTAAATTTTCAAATAAAAGTTGTTTAAAGACCCTTTCGAAATATAAACAAAATTATAATTAAACATTTCCAATAAATCGTTTCTTGCATTTACTAAAAACGCCTCGATCCTCAAGAATTTGCAAACACCAAACAAACTAAGATTCATATTGGGCTAACCTAAAGTAAATACAAATAAAATATATATTCTTATTCAGGATCACTTTCTTATGTAGAAACAAGATGTATATATAGAAAAAAGGTAACACTTAGAATGATGCTTATTTTGTTTAAAAAGATCTCATTACTTAATACTTTACACTGTTGAATGTTGCCTATAAACATAGTTTACTGTATAATTTTTCTAATCTCAAGATTATGCGCTTCAAAGGGAATAATTCACGAATTTTGGCGTATGCGGGATATCATCTGGTTAATCTTGGGTGCCAAGAGAGTTTTTGATAAATTATTGTTATATGTACATAGGATTTATTTTATGTACTTGTTATCAAAGAACCTGGGGAATGCCAATGGTTGAGAATGATTTTTTCAAGGAAAAAACTTAGTCTACTGAAAGTGTTTCGAGCATAAAGTTTGTACATTAAACATGTTTCTGCATTTTAAATTGTTCGTTGCAATTGTAATTCTAAATATTGCAACAGCTGATATTTCCAACTGTAGCTATTTCGATACCGTTGACATTTCGGATCTAACAAGAGTCAACGATACTTATTTATACAATGGCATCGAAATTAGCGCTAATCGAACGGGGGACTATAATTACAGAGAGTTAAAAAATGGATCCATAGAGCCTGTGAAAAATCACTTAAGAGCCTGTGTCTGTGAACTGAAGACATGTTTCAGGATCTGCTGCCCCCGAAAGAACATATTGGCAAATGTAAATTGTAACGAGATTAGTTTATCAATGTTAAATATAAATTTTAACGAAGCAATTAATACTTATAAATTTGATGATGAGCTAGAAAAAGCACAACTGCCCAATTTTAACGAGCTACTCGTGATAAGAGAAAAGTTCCAACAGTGCGATGAGATAGACAGTCTGAGTGATGATGACTTCCGGATACTAAAGGTTTGTCGTTGCGATCTGAAGAAAGTATTTACGTTTCTAATTTAAGCTCTTTAGAACGGATCCCAATATATTTACAACACGTTCGATATGTGGCCCACAGAAATATTCTGCGTCTATACCCAGATTAATTTGGACTTTCCACAGCCCATTTGGGTGGTTCATCACATTTGCACGCATGGTTTGCCGCCAGGGAACTTCGAGAGTAATACCATTTAATATTTAATGATTTCTTCTGTTATCTTTATTTCTCTGTTTTCAGTCTTGTTGATATCCCTAATATGCTACATCCTCACATTGTCAGTGTATCTTTTCGTTAAGAAGCTTCGGAATGTCCTCGGAAAATGTCTTATTTGTACCTTGTTCTGCTCGCTGTTTAATATTCTTATCTACTTGCTGGATGAATTTAATTTATTAAACCGATTTTGCCTATTATTCGGTAAGTTTTTACACAGAAAAAAAAGGACACAAGGTCAGATTGATATGTGCTGGTCAATTTTATATTTTTATACCCGTTACTCGTAGAGTAAAAGGGTATATTGTATTCGTGCAAAAGTATGTAACAAGGAGAAGGAAGCGTTTCCGACCCCATAAAGTATATATATTCTTGATCAGGATCACTAGCCGAGTCGATCTAGCCATGTCCGTCTGTCCGTCTGTCCGTCTGTCTGTCCGTCTGTCCGTCTGTCCGTCTGTCCGTCTGTCCGTCTGTCTGTCTGTATGAACGCTGAGATCTCAGAAACTATAAAAGCTAGAAGATTGGCATTTTGCATGCAGAATTTAGGAGTTCCTACGCAGCGCAAGTTTGTTTCAAAATGGTGCCACGCCCCCTCTAACGCCCACAATCGCTTATATACGATTTTAAAAATGTTAATATTTAAATTCGTTAAAAAGTTATGCGTGATCAACGTTTTCTATCTCTATCTCCATCTCCCTCGCACTCCCTTTACCTGAGTAACGGGTATCTGATAGTCGGGGCATCCGACTATAACGTTCCCTCTTGTTTTAAGATAAAGTTGTTCATATCATTTTGATATGTCAAAAAATACTACATTTGGTATTTAATATGATATGATAAAATATCTTGCTGTATGTATTTGTATTTGATATGCGGCCCCGTAAATTCGATATGGTCGAAATGAGTATTTCATGCAAAAACAATATAGGTATTGCATAACCAGAAATTTTCGATTTTGCGGCGACATGCCTTTTTTGTGTGTAAGAAATAAGGTAGAATTGACTCTATTTCTGTTCAAAAATTTTTTTTTTTAGTAGGTATTTAACTTACTTTCTTGGATTTCAACCAGGTTACAGCAGATACTTCACTAGGATGGCCTACAATCTCTGGCTGTGTGTTATAAGCTTCCATTTGTGGAAATTATTGACGTCTGTGGATAAGAATGAACCTTCCTCGTTTGTTATCTACAATGCTATTGCTTGGGGACTGGCTGCTGTTCCAACAGGAGCTATTTATATAGCGAACCAAGTTTGGCAGGAGGATCTCCATCAATGGAAATGGATGCCCCATATGGGTCGATTTGGATGCATGGTTAAAGGTCTGAATTAAATAAATATTTATCTAAGCTTCTACCATTTATTTCCTTCCTTCCGCAGTTTTTGTGCCCTCTTTTTGGATACACTCATATGGACCAGTCCTGACTCTAACCACTTTTAAAGTCATCATGTTTATCCTGACAGTCATTTACATTTGGAAAGTTAAGAGGAAAGTTAAGAAGTTTAAACAGGATGGGCAGAGTACAGGAACCTTCTTTAATTTTGACACTGCGACGTAAGAACTAATCCTTTGTAGAACTTTGTAAGCTGGCATAATATCCATTTTAAATTCCTTTTTAAGTTATTTAATGTTTTTGCGGTTCTCTGTTATCATGGGCTCTATTTGGATTGTGGATTTTGTTCTTTTTCTGAAAAGCTACAGTTTTTTTAAGCAAGTCTCGTATTGTGTTGCGTATATGGAACGCAGTTTTGGAATTGTAATTTTTATAGTGCTTATCCTCAGGCGCAGCATCCTGAAACTGCTCAAGGAGAGGTAAGTCTAACGTGAATAAAATAATAATCGAATAACCAGTTCCCTGTTTTGACAGAATTCAGTGCAATCCCAGGACTACTGCAGGTGGATGGTTTTTAAAACTGTCAAATCTTTTCCCAACCAATGCGTTGTCATTTGGAAATAAACTAAATTTTTAAATATTTAAAGACTGATATGCAAAATTATACCTAAGCATTTAGGTACATATTAGACTCCTGCATGAATCTATTCAAATTGAATTATACATACTGTACAGTATTAACTGTACTCAACATTTACTGTAAAGTCTACTAAGTGTGTAGTGCACAGTGTCAGGCAAACTGAAATGAGTACACCTTTTTTGAGTACACCTTAAAAATGAATGCTACGATCATTCATCGATTTTCATGCTGTACACCTCATAAAAAAGGTGTTCAGTAAAAATTCCATATGAACAGTAGTGTGCTTACTGTCATGTACAACAATAATATTGAAACTGTATGAAAATAATTTCGTAAGCATGGAAATGGAAACCGTAAGAATATTTATCAAATTTTGTAAGATTGATGGTTAATTTTTGTATTTGTGGTACATTTAGCTGGAATTGTCTAAGACCGAGATGGCAAATATAAAATGTAAAATAATTAGTGGAGAATACACCGTGACCAATAAACGAGGAAGCAGCAAGGTATGGAACACCTTTGGGAAAATTGATGACCATAACGGACAAGAGTTAAAAAGTGTTGTGTGCTGCAGAACTTGCAAAAATGTTTATCGATTTAAAAAAAGTACTTCAAACCTTGTAAAACATAAGTGCTACATAATAGATAATACAAAGAGGACAGCTGGGCCAGAAGAAGTGGAAGTGGATTTGGCAACAAAACATTACGGAGTAAAAATTATAACGGAATGGACTTTAAAAAACGGACGATCTTTTAATATAATTGACGACTCAGGACTAAAAAAGTTAGCGCAGTTTCTCATTAAAGTCGGTGCCACCTTTGGGGAAAATGTAAATATTAATAAGTTATTGCCCCAACCAACCACTATCTCAAGAAACATATCGAAAATTTATTTCGACTACTTCACGGAGATAAAAAATAAAGTTTTTAAAAAATAAAACTCACGGCTATAGCATAACGACAGATATTTGGACTGACGACCATTTAAAAACGTCCTATTTATCGCTTACCATTAATTTTATCAAAGAAGGGAGTTTAGTTAATCGATTATTGGCAATAAAATCAATGAAGGGTGAATCTTGTACCGGTAAGTAAAAACACAGCAACAAATTTGCTTTAACAAAGAATATCCATAGGCATAAGAATAAAACGAAAAATTTCCAAAATTTTGAACGAATTTCAATGTGACCTGGAACTAGACGAACCTATCATAGTTACAGATCGAGGTTCTAACATGATATCGGCATTTCGTGGACTACCACATATATTTTGCATCAACCATTTGTTGCATAATATAATTGAAAAAACAATAAAGGAAGTTCCAGAACTAGAAGAATTGGTTAAACGATGCAGTAAGCTCGTAAAATACTTTAAAAAATCTGGAATGAATTCAAGCTTGGACATTTCCCTTAAAAGTTTTTGCCCAACACGCTGGAACACCGTATATTACCTGATTAAGTCGATAGAAACAAACTGGATTCAAATTCTAAATATTTTAAATGACAAAAACCAAATGGAAAAGGTAGCGGAAATAAGTTTGAGCAACTTAAGGGAACTTATAAAATTACTGTCTCATTTTGAAATGGCATCCAAAAAATTAGAAGCTACGAAGGAACCAACATTGCATTTGGTTATTCTACATATCAATCATTTACGAAAAATTTGCAGTTTAGACACAGATGATCCGGAAATTATTCAAAATACCAAATTTAAGTTACTTAATCTTATTCAAGATGTAGTTCTCCAAAATTTAACAAAGTTTCATAGAATGGCTTTATTTCTAAACCCGCAAACCAACAAATTGTCCCAGTTTTCCGAAGAGGAAAAAGAGGAAACAATTGGCGACATAAAAACCATTATGAATTTGTATGCTTCTGATTCTTTGGAAAACCATATCCCTTCACCCGACCATGAGATCGATGCCATATTTTCGGACTATTTCTCAACCAACGAGGACCGCAATATTTTGGAAAAAATTAATAATGAAATATACTTATACGGAAATGTACGCGTTGGATTCAACTCCACATTTGACATCCTTCAATGGTGGGCCACTTCAAAGGATCAGTTCCCACTGCTTTTTAAAACAAGCTGCAAAATCTTTGCGGCTTCTGCAAGCAGTGCAGCGTCGGAAAGAGCGTTTTCCATTGCAAAAAATTTAATTTCGGACAAACGTTGCAAAATTGGTACTAATGAAGACATGGTTAATCAAATTATGTTCTTAAACTACAATATTGACACAATAAACATAAATGTAGACACCGACACAGACAATAAAGATGAATGGAAAATAAATTAATCAATTAACCAATTTCAAGCACCATGGCCAATACTAATTTTTAAATTGTCATATCTTTATCAATTATAATCGAAAAATGGAACACCGAATTTATCAGCTTATATGTGAAAACATGGTTGTCCCATATGGTCTATTGTTTCTGATAAAAGTGTGGCTTAGAGGTAAAGAAAGTTAAAGAATTCAGGATTGTAGAATAAAAATCAATTTATAACTTTTTGAATCCAAATTATCAAAAAAAAATTTTAATATCATTCAGTGTACACTTGGAATACTGTACAGCAATAATACTGTACTCACAAAAAGGTGTACAGTAAAATTGTGAGTGAGTACACCATTCACACAAATATAAAAATCATAGCATTCTACAACATTCACAAAAAAGGTGTACAACAAAACATGTACACCTTTTTGGGGAAAATGATTCAAAAGGCCTTATGAATGTATTCATGCAGGAGTCTAGTACATATGTCAGTAAAAAACAGTTTTTTCTCCAAAAATTGTAGGAATTAATCGGGTAATAAACTTGAATAATAAACAAACACTTTTTGATAACATTATCTTATTCCCATGTCGCTAAATAAGATTGTCTCGAATGAATTCTCAGTTATTGGAAAAAACTACATAATTCTTATAATCGCAAAAATCTCCATAAAAAAATGGGTGTACAGGGAATTGGGCGATTTTTGTGGCGTGTGCAGAATTTCAGCAGGTTGCTATTAGGCCGCAAAAACAATTTTTATATTCAACAAATGTTATACATTTATTTTTTAGCTTCTATTCCCATGCGAGTCCCAATGATCGATATTGTTTTTGCCGTTTTAGGAGATTGTTTTCAAAGCTAGGCTTTATAAGCAGAACATTTTGTTTTTTGGTAGTCAGTAGAGTTTTCCTCCGCATGTTGAAAGTTTCTTTTTAAAAATGTCTCTGTATATTAAATATTTCGTTTCAATTTTAATATTTTCCATTGTTAGGAATTCAGTAGCTGATATTCCCAACTGCGACTATTTCGATACCGTTGACATTTCGGATTTAACAAGAGTCAACGATACTTATCTATATAAAGGCAACAAAATTAGCGCTAATCGAACGGGGGAGTACAATTACAGGGAGTTAAGAGGTGGATCCATAGTGCCTGTGAAAAATCACTTAAGAGCCTGTGTCTGTGAAGTGAAGCCGTGTGTCCGAATGTGCTGCCTTAAAAAGAATATGTTACCAAACGGAAAATGTATCGATGGATTTAATCAGGAAACTAGTTTATCAATTTCAAATATTACTTTAAATGACCTATTTGGCTTGAATTTAACTGTTGAACAGGTAAGAACGGCTCCACTGTTAAATTTGACCGAGGTGGTCGTGATTAGAGATCAATTCCAAACGTGCAAAGATATCGTCGTTGTGAAAGAAGATGAGTACCGAATTCTAAAGGTTGGTCATTTGATCTGAAATCAATATTTACGCTTCTAATTCAAGCTCTTTAGGACGGACACCTTGTTATATGCAACACTGAGGAATATTTGTACAACGGAGAATTCTGCTTCCACCCGCCGTATAATTCGGACTTTCCCAATTCAATATTGGTTGTTAAACGCATTTGTTATACATATTTGATGCCAGGGGACCTCGAGAGTAATAAAATACATTAATATATGACATCCGCTGTTACCTTAATTACTCTGTTTCTGTACTTCCAGTCCAAATGATATCCGTAATATGCTACATCCTCACATTGTTTGTGTATTTGTACGTTCAGAAGCTTCGAAATTTGCTCGGCAAGTGTCTTATTTCTACCTTATTCAGCATGATCATAGTGCACCTTCACAACATGCTGGAAAAATTTAATTTACTTAACCACATTTGCCTATTAGCAGGTTAGTTGTTTATATTTAATTTTGTTTTGATCTCAATTATAGGGCAAACTACTAATATTCGTGAACATTTGTCAGGTTACAGCATATACTTCCTCACGATAGCCCACCATCTCTGGTTATCTGTTACTAGCTTTCATTTGTGGAAACTATTGACGAATAGAAGTGAACATTCCTCGTTTGGTACCTACAGTGCCTTTGTTTGGGGCATGGCTGCAATTCCAACGGGAGTTATTTATGCAATGAATCAAATTTGGGAGGAGGATATCCATAAATGGAGCTGGTTGCCCTTAGTTGGCTATTCTGAATGCAAGCTGGAAGGTTTGAATTAATTAATCATTTATAGGAGCTTTTAGCATACATTTATTTTCGTCTACAGCTAGGACGACCCCTTCATGGATATGGATTTACTTAGATGGACCAGTACTGATTCTCAACATTTTAAAAGTGGTCATGTTTATTCTGACGGTCATTCACATTTGGAAAGTTAAGGGCGAAATGAGAAAGTTCAAACGAGATGAAGAGAGGAATATACAATGCTTCAATTTTGATACTGAGACGTAAGAATTCTTTTTCAGAATTTGGAACCCAATCTAATATACATTTTCATTTTCTTTTTAGTTATCTAATGTTTTTGCGACTCTCTGTTATCATGGGCGCGGTTTGGTTCTTCGGTGTTTTTTATTTTTTGCAAGGCTACAGTTCTTTTTGGGAGATCTGTGTTTTGGCAGGATATGCAGAACGCGGTATAGGAATTATCATTTTTATGGTGCTTATACTAAAGCGCAGCACCCTAAAACTGCTTATGGAGCGGTAAGTCCTCTGTGATCATGATGATGATCGAATATAAAGTTCCTTGTTTTAACAGAATTCGTGGTAGACGGTAGGAGCAGGCTACATGGACGAACCAACTGGATTGTTTTTTAAATTTACCATTTTTGTTTTTACATTTATATCATAAAACAAATGAAATTAAAATATATGTATAATTATAAATTACTATTAAACAAACTCTTTTTTTTTCTCGAAAAACCGTTACTTTTTCCATTTCCCGTGTGACCGCACTGCACAGAAATGATAACGCCTCTTCGGTTTTTGGTATTTTCGCATTTCTCGCTGTCCTCGGTTTCAGTTCGGTTTAGTTCTCTTTCTCTGGATAAAAATCAAATTCAATCGACGATCGCCAAACGATCCCCCACTTGGTCGCCACACAAACAACGTCGAGCCAAAGACCGACGGCTAAATCATTTTCCCCCCCTTCCGGAGAGCCCAGAAAACCCCGGATCCAAAGTGCGTAGCTGTCCCCCCTGAAAAGCGAAGGAAGAAGAAGAACAACAACAAAAGGCGGAGAGGTGAAACAAAGGAGACCGAAAGTAGCAAAAAAAAAAAACACAATTAAATTGGCAATTTGTGTCGATATATCACGTGATTGTGTGGTTAGTATAGTCCCTAAGATCTGGGCATATATATAGTAGCGATTTGCAACTTATCCTGCTTGGTTTTCTAGGTTTTACATAACATCACAGGCGGTCGTTTCGCAGGAGGAGCGGTGAAGGATTTGCCTAGTGGAAATTCAGAAGCTGTTGGAGCAAATAGAGCAACCAAGGAGCAAGGAATCCCCAGCCTAACCCATCATGAACAACCTGGCCGACACTGTGGTCGTGGATCCCGGATTCGGAGGCGGCGACAAGCAGCAGCTGGCCGGTCCGGCGCCCCAGGATGCCAGCGTGGTGGTTCCGCCGCCGGCTACCAAGCAATCGTCGGCGCTGAAGAAGACCAGCCGGTACAGGAGCCGCTCGCTAAGTGCCTCCTCCACGGACTCCTTCAGCTCCGCCAGCTACACGGGCAGCAGCGAGGATGGCGACGATGTGCCGCCGCGGGAGAAGGTGCAAAAGAACAGCAAGGGCAGCTCCGATTTCTGTGTGAGGAATATAGCAGCCCAGCATGCTTTTGGAAGGAGGGAAATCGAGATTGCGGAACAGGAAATGCCGGGAATTATTGCCCTGAAGAAACGGGCCGCCGAGGATAAGCCGCTGAAGGATGCCAAGATCGTGGGATGCACACACATCAACGCCCAGACGGCGGTGCTCATCGAGACGCTGGTGGAACTCGGAGCCAGTGTGCGCTGGGCCGCCTGCAACATCTACTCCACGCAGGTGAGACCTAAAGCGCCACATCATTCGTTTAGTAATTTATTTATCACCATTTGTTTGTAAATGCCATGGGTTTTTAACTAGATTTTGCATTTTTTTTTGTATAACAAAACAGGTATATTTATATTTTTTATACAATTTTATACTTATTCAAGATTTTTTAGAACAAAACAAATATTTGTAATCTTTATTTTAAATTTATATCTTTATTATTAACTAGATTTTGCATTTTTCTTGTGTAAAACTAGCTGCTAATATTTGTAATGTTTATTTTTAAATTATGTCTTCATTATGCCCTGTCATGTGCTCAAATTAGCATTTCCAAAGTGTAGATAATATTATTTAAAACCCCATTTTTATGGAGTGCTAATCGAATTTCCCTGCATTTATATCGCAACTAATTTTCCAACATTTTTATTCCAGTTTGGTCAGGTATATTCATCATTTTTATACATTTTAAAATTTATTCAAGATTTTTTAGAACAGAACTAGCTGCAAATTGAGCTGCAAATATTTGTAATCTTTATTTTTAATTTGTATCTTTATTATTCCCTGTCATGTGCTCAAATTAGCATTTCCAAAGTGTAGATAATATTGTTTAAAACCCCTTTTTTATGGCGTGCTAATCGAATTTCCCTGCATTTATATCGCAACTAATTTTCCAACATTTATTTAAATTCACATTTATATTCGAGTTTGGTCACTTGATCTGCTGCTTGGCGACAATTGTTGTCACGCCAGGCGAGGCAAACAAATGATCAATCAAGCCATGTTAATCAATTAAGCGCCCGCGGCTCAAGTGTTTGGCAATCGCTGAGTAATTGATGTGCCCTGAATTGGGTCGCCACATCGTTGCGGAGTGGAAGTTATGGACGCAGTTTCAGTTTTCATCATTCGGCTGCGGTTTCTCGATCCTGCGGCGTAGCTGATGCAATTATCACGAGTCTGCTGGCTCTAAACATTTTATGGGATCTCTAATGAAGCGATCCGAGTGCGGGGGCACTCCCCCTGCTCATTTATGCACCCATCCATTCGTCAGTCCGTCGAAACTTTTATCGCACCCGTCAGCCTGTCACGCTGATTCACCTGCATCACCTGGGGCTTATCAGCCGAGTTCCGAGTGCCCTGCTTAGCGAGGGTGGAGCCCGATTTCCTATCAGTCCGATATAAGTCAGATATTACCAATGTTTACACCGCATTAGGGTGGCTCGATTTATCAGCCAAATAGATAAGGGGTTTTTTTAACTTTTAGACAATAATTGTAATAGCCTTCAATTAATTTTGAAATGCATTTATTTTTTAAAAATAATAGTGATATTTAAATTGATTCATATTTAGACCGCCTTAAATGGTTCGATGTATCATAAAAAAAGTCAGTTTTAATTCTTTAAATGATTGGAAATATCTATAAATCTACAGTAAAATTTTTGATAGCCTTTGACACATAAAATGAATAGGATAATATTTGTTAAGTTATCAACATTTTTTTAATCTAAAGCTCAACAATATTTTAGAAATGATGAAGGCATTTTTCTGTGCTAATTAGTTTCTTAAACGTTGACGGAGACAAAGATTTATTTTCGTGAAGAGGCTAGCAAGTCATTTAAGTTTTTGTTTAATGATTTTTAATGGAATAACAATGAGTTAGGTATTTAGTAAAACCAAAAGTTAATTAACTTTAGCAGTATAGTAGAAAAAGGTTAAGAAAAGGGGAATGTATGTTATAATAATATTTTGAGGTGATTTTTAAACTAATGCTATTCTGAGACAAAAATACATAAATTAATCATAGAATTATTTATCTCATTTAATTCACATAAAATTCCCTTTTTTCCCTAAATAAAAATCCACTAAAATTCGATTATTTTCAGAACGAAGTGGCCGCCGCCTTGGCCGAATCTGGAATCCCAATCTTCGCTTGGCGCGGCGAGACAGAGGAGGATTTCTGGTGGTGCATCGATCGCTGCGTGAACGCGGAGAACTGGCAGCCGAACATGATACTGGACGACGGCGGCGATGCCACGCACCTGATGCTGAAGAAGTACCCGACCATGTTCAAGCTGGTCAAGGGAATCGTGGAGGAGAGCGTCACCGGGGTGCACAGGCTCTATCAGCTGTCCAAGGCGGGCAAGCTGACGGTGCCGGCGATGAATGTGAACGATTCGGTGACCAAGACCAAGTTCGATAACCTGTACAGCTGCAAGGAGTCCATTCTGGACAGCCTCAAGCGCTCCACGGACGTGATGTTCGGCGGCAAGCAGGTGGTGGTCTGCGGCTATGGCGATGTAGGCAAGGGCTGTGCTCAGGCGCTCAAGGGACAGGTGAGCCACGCTCTCTCTTTTAACCATTTAACCGAAGTTAGTTTGACTTAACTTTTCTTTAACTTTTCTCAGGGCTGCATTGTCTACATCACCGAAATCGATCCCATTTGCGCCCTGCAGGCCAGCATGGATGGCTTCCGCGTGGTCAAGCTGAACGAGGTGATCCGCAACGTGGACATTGTGGTGACGGCGACGGGCAACAAGAATGTGGTCGTGCGCGAGCACATGGACAAGATGAAGAGCGGCTGCATTGTGTGCAATATGGGTCACTCGAACACGGAGATCGATGTGAACGGGCTGCGCACTCCCGATTTGACCTGGGAGAAGGTGCGCTCGCAGGTGGATCACATCATCTGGCCGGAGGGCAAGTACATCATCCTGCTGGCCGAGGGAAGGCTGGTCAACCTGAGCTGCTCCAGCATTCCCTCGTTCGCCGTCTCCATCACCTCGGCCACCCAGGCGCTGGCCCTGATTGAGCTTTTCAATGCACCGCCCGGACGCTACAAGTCGGACGTCTACTTGCTGCCCAAGAAGATGGACGAGTATGTGGCCAGCCTGCACCTGCCCACCTTCGATGCCCATTTGACGGAGCTGAGCGACGAGCAGGCCAAGTACATGGGGCTGAACAAGGCCGGTCCTTTCAAGCCCAACTACTATCGCTACTAGGAATGAAGGGACAAAGAGTGCGCGACAGATGCGCGGACAATAACACCAGCAATTAGGAGAAACAACAACGCCAACGAAAGTATTGTCTTTGCGAAGAAGTAAAACTATTTAAAACAATTGTTGACACACACAAAAACACACACGCAACACACACAAAACGATATGGAAAAGGAGAACACAAAGTTACTATTACCATTGTATTGCTTAGTTTAGCTCGAGCGGAATTCTTGGTTGCTTTTCGTTAGCATTTAACGTCTTCGATATAGTATTTAGCACACTCGCTTTAGCCGCAGGAGTATTCTCTCTGTTTACTAATCCCCCAATGACTCTCTAAAAACCTAAACTAATCTTGCCCCTTAAGAATTTAACCCCTTGAAATGTTTTTATAGCCGGTTACTTGAATTTATTTTAGATATTTCGATTGCTTATTAATTAGACTGGGTTATAGTTGAAAAGATGTGATTTTTAAGCTCGTAAAATAGTTGGAATTGATAATATCTATTAAGGGAATTGATAAGAATCTATAAAACTGTATGTTCAAGTGGAAAATCACTGCTAAAATTCACATTTTACAATATTTTCATATTTCTGTACCATTTTAATCTGATTAATCCCTTTCTTGAACTATAAACACCTAAATAATAAGCAATCGATTTAGCGCTCGTATTGTTTACGTACTTAATTTGTTAATCGTTTATGCCCCCCGCTTTTGATTATGGCACTTTTGTACTTTCGTTTCGTCCCGATGAGCGAGTGTTGATTGAAATGCAGTGCAAAGTAATTCCATTTATTCAATTATATACACGCTGGCATATATATCAGATCGAGAATTATATATATATACACTGCATATACACCTAATATGTATATTAGAGAAAAGTGAACAAAATGTTTGTAAGAAATTTGTGAGAAACGCAAAACAATAAAAAAGAGAATTCTTTATTGAGCAATTGATTTTTACCTCCCTCTTTTAGCCCACAAAAAGTCACCTTTCAGATGCATCACTCGTCTATTTCTCTTTTATTACTCGATACTTTGCCTTAAACTTGTTATGTTTTTTCTTTGATACTTTATAAAATGTAAACTACACGAGTTTGTTATAAAAAAATCATACACTTTATGTATTACGTTCGTTTTGTATTTTTTTATATAATTTTTCACGTTCATCTTCGTTGGCTTCCTGGTATTATAATGAACTCTTTTTCTTTTCTTAAAATGCCGTAAAGTGCATATATCAAACCCGTCCTAATTAGGTTAATGCTAAACACATGCGTCAACTAAATCTTAATCAAAAGGTGTGTGTGTGTAGAAGTTGTGTGTGGGAACAAACAAATCCAAGCGGAGCCGAAAGTTACAATTAGTTTAGGATAAAGGTTTAGAGGCTGCGTACATCTATATATATTTGCATCTGGAGAGGATCGGTCGGATTTAGTCGAGAAAGTGCGGCTTGAGGTGCTTCAGCATGCCGAAGGTGCGGAAACGTCGGATTTTCATCACCTTCATCAGCTCGTCGTCGCAGATGGCGAACTGCTTGTTCTTGGGATCGTATAGATCCCGCTCCTTGATGATGGCCCACACCTTCTTGACCACCTCGTGCCGAGGAAGCGATGATTCACCCATGAGGGCACTCAGTTCGGGTGAGAGATTGTAGGCCCGCGTGAAACCGGTGGATTTGCGACCGGATGCGGTGGTTCCGCCGGCAGCCTTGCCTGCCTTCTTCTTGGCCGCCGGCTTCTTGACCACCTCGTAGTCCGAATCCGAGCCAGCATCGCTTTCGGTGCCCGAATCGTCGGCATTCAAAGTCTTGCGCTTCTTCTTGGGCGCCTTGTGCTTGGTGGGCTGTGGCCGCTTCTTGGGACCCGGCTTGCCGGGCTTCTTCTTCTGCTGGGCCTCCTCCTCGCTGCTGCTGGGGTCCTCCTCCTCGCTGGGCTCGCTCTCCTCGTCGGGCTCCGCGTCCGGATCCTTGCCCTCGTCATCGTCCTCGTCCTCCTCGTCCTGCTGCTCGTTGATCACCTCCATGACGATCTTGTCGAACTCCTTCTTGCGGCTCAGCAGCGAGCAGTTGAGCTTTCCCTCCACCTGTTCGCGCACCCTCTTCGCGGAAATGGTGGCCAAGTCGGCATCCTTCAGCACCGACTGGATTTCGCGGCGCAGGTCCTCGCTGGAGATGTCCGACATCTTGTTCGTATTGTTCCTCGTTTTCCTGCGAAGATATAACCTAGGAAAGCGCAATTGGCGGTTTCTCTGTTAACCTTGGGTTTATCTGGATATTCTTTACCACTTTTCACTTACCAGGAGCTCGGGTTTCTCTGGTCTTTTCACGTTTTTCGGGTTTTACTCAGTGGCTAAAAAGATTTTCGTTTTTTCTTTACACCAAGTCGGCGTCTCTATAGGGTTGCACTTATCGGTATCGGCGAAAGGCAACCCTGCCAGTGGGCAGTGCAGAGCAATCTGGCTAGAAGACAGGTGTAGCTACTTTTTAGCTAAATTTATTTAATTTTTTGGGAAATTAGAAAAGTTATATAACTATAATCTGGATATTCCCTAAAATGTTGAATTGCCTAGTTGTTGTTTCACGGAACTTAAACATGTAAAATTTGACTTCTTTATTGTTGGTTACTGTCTAAAAATTGTAAGTAAGGTAAGAAGAACTACTAGAACAATGCAGTTAATATTTTGTTATATTTAAAATTAACCTTTAATGTTTAAAGTCGTTGTGGAAATTTTTAAGTATGTTCCATATTAAGAATGGAAGCAGGTATTTTTGGTATATAATATATTTTTTTACCATTGCTCAGTATTATTTTAGTTAAATTTAAAGCAAGATTAAAATTTAAATTAATTACACCCAGAGTTAATTATGCGGGGTGGCAGCGCCAAGCAATTTGCAGGCACTTCAAATTCTGGTCACCCCAGAAGTGTGATATCGCCTATCGATAGTGTAGACAAATAATCGATTCCCGTTCCGTCGCGTATTTGTTAAAAAAAAACTAAATAATATTTAACAACCGTCAAAAGTTCGCCCCGCGCCTTCAAACGCTCCTCCGATGTGCAATAAGTTTTTGGCCTTATCGCTGGCCGAAAATACACGGCGAAAATCGCGAAAAAACCAGCAGCTGCAGGAAGAATAACAATATCATAAGAAAAATACCAGCAACAACTACACACACACAGCAGCAGCAACAAAAACAACAACGTGCGCTGAGGTAATTTTGCTTTTTTTATTTTTGTTTATTTATATAAATGTGCGTGTGTGCCTGAGAGTGTGTGCGTGCGCGAGGTGCGTGAGTTTCTTGTCTAAATTTGATTTTTGCTGCAATTTTCATGTGGTCCCCATTTTATTTAATTGCATTTATGTATATCTATTTGGCTGCTTTTAATCCGCTTTTTTGTGCGAGAGATTCGCAAAGTTTTCGCATCTCTCTTGGGCTCCTCTTCGTCGCTTTTCGCTACTCCGCTTTGGGCCGCTTCTTCGCGTCTTTGTTTTGCCGGCGTTTCGATTCAGTTTTTGTTGTCTCCTTTTGTTCGAATATGCAACGCCCTTTTTCCAATTGGACGTTTTTTCTCTCTTGAGTTTTGAAGTTTTCGGATTAAAAATAAAAAATAATTTAAGAAATTTCGAAATATCAAATGAAATAACGTGATTTATTTAGTAAACTACAGTGAAATTTGGCTACGATCAACATTTTGATACAAAAACATTAGGTAATACTATGAATTTTAAACAAGTCATGTACTTTGTATAATAAAGTAGTAAAATCAGGTTCATTATTTATTTTTTAAATTTAATAGTTATGGAAAACAATAATTTTTAACATTTTTTTAATTAATTAATATCGTTAAATTAACAAACTCATATTTTCAATAAGATATTCAAAGATTTATACGGCTTTGAGACATTTATAAAAAAAAATTCAATAGATTTCTCGATAAATTTTGGTATACGCCAATTTTTATTTAAATTAAAGTCACTTTACAAAAACTAAATTAATTTATACAAGCTTTACTGTACTCTCTCCTAATAAAAATAAACTAGCCCACCTGCTTTACGAGAAATGATACAATAATTACCGAGTGGGCGGCGGTTGAGGTTTCAGTCTCTGGGCTATTACATTTTATGGATTTGTGTTTTCCATCCGGAAACCGCAGGAAGGCATCATTTCCATGAGTTCTGTAAGCATATTACCGGGTATCGATAAAAAATGTATGCCAAGCTATATTTATAAAAACGCGATAAGAAATATATTTCAACTCACTTTAAGATAAGAAATTCAATTTCTCGTTATACTTATTTATTACTTTTATTTTATTTATAATACTTTAGTTTCCCTAAAAAGAGTATTCAGGAAAGTGTGGGAAATATTCGTTTATATCTGTAGGCTTATTTACACCAACTGGTGTGTATTTTGTAATATTATTAGCCGATTTGAATATTTATTTATTGCAGCGGCTGTGCTCCGTGTTGTCAGGCATTCATTTCTTATTTTTTTTGTTTGCCTTTTTATTTATTTTGTGGTTTGTTGTCGCCCCACAGTGCCTGCTAAGAGTTTACACCCTCTACCTGTTGCTACTGGCCACCCACAAAAGCGATAGCACACTTTTCGCAGTCAGTGTGCAAGACAGATTTAATATTTCAGCTTTTTCGTGTTTTTTTTTTCTCAACCAATTAGATGTTCTTGGCATAGTTTTTTTCTTATTTTGAACGATCTAACATTGCTCATTTAAGTAATCACATAAATTATCCAAGATTATGAAATCAGGCGATAAAATTGGCTGTTTGTTTCTTAAGTTTTTTTTTTGTTTTAATTTAGACTCCTTGGGGAAAGGGCTTTTAATTAATGACAGCAAAGAAATATGTGCGGATAATCTCAGTTTTACAGTTAAAACAATAAATTACTTCAATCTCTACCCAAATAACAGAAATAATGTATTATAATTTTACTGCATAAAATATAAAAAGAAGTAGTAAAGCCTAATTTCTATTCGAATTTTTATTATTTTGATTTATATTTTTTATAAAATCTGCAGCGCTATTAAGAAAGATCTCTTGAAATTTCCCGCTGTCTTCGAATGATCTTTGTTTATAGCTGTTTTAAAACTAAATGCTCGCTGTGCCGTTTCGTCATTATGAAACGACGTCAAAGTAAAAGCACCCAAAAAACTTTCGCACGGTGAAAAATGTTTTTTAATTTTCCGCCGCTGCTGCTGCTGCGCCGAAAAAAAGAAGAAAAACTTTTCTCGCCCACGCCAAAAATTCTGACGCGCTCGATTTGCGATTGTCTTGGTGCCTTGTTCCCATATTTTTTATGCTACCCGCTTTATAATTTATGCACAAAAAATCCAAAAAATAAATAAGCAATGCCTGCATTAAGACGATCGGGAGTGGAATGGATTTTCGCAGCATTTCTGCTGGGAAAGCAAGGAAAAGGGGGGACGCTTTTGGGTGCACAGTGGGCCATAAAAGTCAGCCCACTCATAACTCAGTGGCCAAACTATTTGTCGGTGACCCTGGGCGAGGTGCTTGACAGTGGCCACAATTAAATTCGGATGGAAGTGCACACATATCTTTTTATGTTTCTAGCATGTGCACTATATAAAATTGTGCGAACGGCGAAAAATTCGCCAATAAATTCCCTTTTTTTCGGTGCATTTTTGTTTGGCCCTGACATTGCACTTGCAGCATGGAGAATGGGAAAACTGTGTGTGCAAGCGCAGCAAAGGGAAAATTCAAATGGGCGATATTTTCCCAGGAAAAATGCTTCATTTTGTTTATGACAATTTCTAAATTGAAGACTGCAAAAAAAAAAAAAAAAGCATGGAGAAATCGAAGGCAAAAAAATTTAAACATTTAAACAGTGCGTGGTATAAGTAAAAGATCGGTAATAGGTACTTTAAAAAAATTAAATTTTTACAATTTCGTGGAATTTTATTTTTAATGTGAATTAAAGTAATAATAATAATTAAAAATAAATTTTTATATAAAAGCCTTTTGTAAATATTTTTGATTTATTAATCACAAATATAATATTTTTAAAATAATAAATTCAATTGAAAACTGAAAGAAACGTTGGTATTCAAAAAGTATGCAGCAACAAATTTGTTATAAAAAACACAAATCCTGCTACATACTTATACCCTTTGTAAAATTAAAACTATAATCTATATCTAATACCCACTGTATCATTTGGGGGCTGGGAATAGTTGTGAGAGACTTCAGGCGTCATAAAAACCCGCCCACAACTATGACACAATCGAAGATGATGCCTGGTAAATCTGCCGCCCATTTGCCCGATTTTCCCCGGGGGGTTTTCAAAAGTCTCCTTTGACGTTTGCGCCCGATTTGGCCATAAATTTGAAAAATGATTTTCTACACAATTTTCTGCATTCGTCAGTCGAAGAATTTTGTGTCGCTAAATCAAAGCGAACAAAACAACTGTGCTGAGTCAATTTTCTTATTTTTAGTTGCTGCTTTTGGTATGTGATTTTATGTTATTCTTTTAAATGTATATTTTCTATTTGCGAATAATAAAAAATATATGTATATTTGTGCTAAATTTAACCCAATTAGTTTGCGCGCTGTTCTACAATTATATTTGCAATTTACTTTGATTTTCCTCTGCCAGCAGCATTCCTCGGCCGTAAAATCAATCGAAAAAGAGCAAATTCAATGGGGGGATACTGATGATCGGAGGGATTAGTCATGCAGGTGGTTCTCTCTATATATCTTTAGAACCTCCACAATCGACATCGAATCAATTCACAGTTCGGCTTCGTGTTTAGAAATTCTACAGCCATCATAAATTATATTTTATATCTTAAATCGATTCCCCAACGTCCAATTGCCCAATTTGTGAATTTGTTTATTGGCAACAAAAAATTATGCTGCGATCTGGCGAAAGTTATTTCAGAGTCCGAAACGACGACGTTGCTTTTCAAGGTCGTTGGATTGTGTTTGCAAAGGATTTTTGCAGTTAAGATCTCTGCCTTGGATGTTGGCCAAATAATAAATATTCATTTTTTTTCGCATTTTTCATTTGGCATATCTTTTTTTGTTGCTCCTTTTTGATAATGTGGGAAAAATAAAAGAAAGGTGTCGCGGGGACTGGAAAAATGAAATGGGGAAATATATTTTAGGAAGTCAGTCATAAATAAAATATATTTAAAGTGCTTAGGCTATGGCTATATTTATTTGGGACTTTTCGATTCGTTTAGAATGCGTTGAACTTTAAGAAATTGTGAGTAGATTGTGAACTAAAGTTCTATGAAGAATCAAATAAGGATCTAAAAATCATATGACTAACAATGAGTATAAATTTTTATTTTCCTATTCAGCGAATATTATACTAAGTATTACTTAAAAACCCATTAATTGTTAACTTGTGACAACCAAGGTTTACTTTCTAATCATCTTCAACCTTTAAGAGACCTTCGCGCATTTCTTTTTCGTAACTGAACCCATAGAAAATAATACACTAAGTGCAGACGCCTTGACCCAGAAACCCACTTAGAAAGGAAACCCAAACGATTGTAGGATCGCAAGTACCTGAACTAATGAGCAACTCTCCTTAGTGTAGGGTGCTCGGGAAAATAGACCGAAAACTTTGAAGAAAACTTTTCGAAATTAAGAGCCGTGCGCCGATCGCCGATTGCCGGACGCCTCTCTCCGTTGAGAGGATCATGAGTTCTATTTTCGAAAAAACGTTTTCGAAATTGCGAGAGTGAAAGAGCGGCGGGTCCGTGTGTTCTCTCGTTTAGAATTGTTGTTTGTGTAGGAAATGTGAAAGTTCATTGTTTCATTGAGGAAAAATGGTGAAAAAGTCAAATTATCTAACAGTGGCGAGATGCTGCGGCGGGGATTTCGAAGAAGATTTTTGAAGATTTCGAATTCGATGTTCGAAATGGGAGCAGATCGGCGTGCGCCCGGAATATCCACACTCAGTGGTCTCTGCGGAGGTTTCACGTTTGAACGTCTCTCGAACGAACACAGACGATTTCCACGGAAAAGCGCAATGTGAAAGCCAAAAAAGACTAGAAATAGCCTGGCGTGACGTCCCCACACAGACGACAGACAGCAGAACGATTAGCACCGTCCGTCAGTAGCGGACTATAGCCAACCGAGAGAGGATCTAACGCCTAACCGAACGATCTTAACTGATCTTCAAGTGTGTCTAGCCTAAGAAGTGTTACGATCTAAAAATGCCAACATTCCATTGCTAAAACGAATTATAAAACATCAAAAATCAAATAAAAAAGAGAGATCATAGATTCAACAGCAGGTGGTTGTGTCGGAAGCGCGAGTGTCAAGTCTCAAGTGTCTCAAAAAACCCAAGGATGTGTTTTTAACAATCCCCAAAACGCCCGATCTTCGAGCTGTGTAGTATCAACCCGTGAAGAAGTATCCGCAGTGGTTTTTCGTGGTTCGCGGGGACCATGCCGGTCATTGCCGATGCCGCCAGCGATGAGCCACCAGCAAAATGTTGCAAACATTGTGAGGGTATGCCTAGATCTTACATCCAACCTATCCAAAAATCTATCCACCTAACAACACAGATATGAAATAGGATCAATTCTACCTTATTTCATATCAATAAAAAGCCGATTTATGTCAGAATTATGATTCAAACATATCAAAATGATATTTTATCACATTACATAAAATACCAAATTTGTATTTTTTAAACAGATAATGTAAAATAAGCTAAACATGCTCTTTATCCATATCAAAATGATATGAAAATTGTCCAGCACATATCAAACTGATCTTTTGTCAATTTGTTTTCTGTGTATATATCTACCTATGTTCTACGTATAAACAATGGCCGGAAAAGTGCAGCGGTGGCAGTGGTGGGTTCGTTAACCGATTGGCTATTAACTTCGGCCCAAAATCCAAACACAATTGAAAGATTTATGCTTAATTTCCACCACCCACCCAACCCCTCCGTGTGTTTTTCCCACTTGACTGACATTAACTTTGCTCTCCTTTTTGTTTGTTTTAATTTTTGTGCTGTTGTGCTGTTGCTCTTTTGCCCAGGGGCAGCAATTGCTGGGCACTTAGTTTTTCCTGCTACCAAAAAAAAAAATTATAACGAAAAACCGCTGACGCGTCTACTTAAAATTTTTCAGCAGTAGTGGAAAAGCATGACAGCTAACGCCACCGGCTGCAAAAAATTCAAAATAGGCCTCGAGATTAGCTAGGGAAAAATGGATTTCGCCGCCATTTTTGACAACATTAAAATTGTGACCGGAAATGTCAAAATATTTTTTCCGCAGGAAACTAATTTAATTTCAAAGTGGATTTTCATTTTAATTATTTTCACGGATCCTGCGAAATGAGCCATAAACATTCGCTTCGATTGCATTTCACACACAAATTGTTTTATATTTTGTGGCTACCTTTAAATGCCGTAAATTGAATTATAAAAGATTTAATTTGGATTACACATTTGTTTGTGTTAGTATTAGTTCTTAAAGAGTTTTCATCGAGCTTCCTTTTTTAAAATTAATGAGTATCATTTAAAATTAATGTGTATATTTGGAATTATTAGAAACGTTTTAATGTGCACTATTTTATTTTAAATTATTTTATTGCAATTCGTTCGACTTAAACTTTTAAAAACAATACAATTAAAGCTTCAAATAGAAAATCATACTTCGAATTTAAATATATTTATTTATTAAATCAATAAATGTATTCACTTGAAAATTGAAAGAATTTTATTATACTTAAGATTTTCAAAATAATAGTGTGCTAAATATGAGGTTAAAATTAAATAATTTGAAAAGGCTACCAGTTAATTTAGTTTAATTAAACAAAAGTGTTGTCCCTAATGAGGGGAGGCAGAGTTTTTTTCTTTTCGTTTTGCAGCCTTTTGGCCGTGCGTTTTCTGCTTGGCACGCGCTCAATGTCAAACTGACCAGCCCACCTTCCCCCGCCCCCTTTTACGCCTCACCCCACTGCCACCCATCCAACCCCACAGCCCTTCTCCGCCTTGGCTAACGAGCTGTTAAAAATAAAGCATTGTAAAATGTTGTCAACAAATGCAGACATTGTATGAATATATAATATATCGAGGAACCCAGCATATACTTATATATATATATGCCAAAGTTAAACAAAGCGTGGGCGAACCCCAGAAAAACGCAGCCGGGGAATCGAAAATCATGCGGGAAATATTTGATATAGAAGAAAACGGAAAATGCAACTCATATAGGAAGAGGTCTTTCGTAACCATTTGGCTTTTATTTCAGATAGGAAATATATAACTGAAAAAACTATTATATTTGGGATTCCCAACAATCCAACCTTTAAAAGAAATCCCTTTATTTTCTAAAAATATTCTTATACTTCATACAGAAGAAAACGAAAAATGCAACTCATTTAGGAAAAGGTATTTTTAATAAAAATTATTATATTTGGGATTCCGAACAATCTAGCCTTTAAAGGAAAACCCTTCTTTTATCTTCTTAAATCCACCGCCACTTGTTTGAAAGCCACGATAAATAAACTATCCCCTGAAGCATTTAAAAATAAATAAATTACACTAATACCCAGAATTAATCAAACTAAAATAACAAGCGAACACAACAGCGCAGGCTAAGCCAAATCATCTTGGCCATATAAACGACTTGTTTACAACAATGCAAGCTTGTTTACAAATAGCAAATAGAAAAGAGGAGCAAAAAAAATTCCATTTCTTGTGGCTAATCGGAACGTAAAATTTTCCAAGCCTTGACACTCTTTCAATCTATTGCGCATACATATATTTCTTTTTATTCCTTTTGATATATAGTGATTAGACGAACTGCACTAGAATGTTACAGAAAAAATGGAAAATTCATTTAGATTTTTTCGTTTATGGCTTTTTTATTTACATGATAAACGAGGGGCCAGCAGACTGCTTGGCAAAATTAGCTGAATAAAATTAAATTTAATGAAAAAGAAAAGCGACGCAGACTGCTTCCCCTTTCCAGCCTGCTTTTCTTTTATTCTTTCCTCGTTTTTATGACCATTTTCAATGTAATTTTTAGTGTTGAGTGGGGCACAAGGTGTTGTCGTTTTGTGTGTTTTCTGCGTGTGAGCGCTCTTAAACACTTTAAAATGAGTGTCGCTGGGGCTATTTCCAGTCGTCTTCCTCAGGCTACCCCTTACCATCTATCTAGTAAATTCTCTTTGGCTCTGGGCATTCCTGACATCTCATTCGATTGCCGTTTTCTTGGGGGGTAAGGAAAATCGTGCTGAACTGTAAGTTCGAAATGGGGGGAGAATTTTCATTTTCTGTTGTTCAGCCGAAGAATTTTTGGGGATCACTCGTTGACTGAACGGACAAAGCTCATTGAACTGCTTTGTGCACAGAAAAAAATTAGTTATAATTCTAGTGAAACCATGATATCTCACAAATATATTTTAGGTAGAATTTACGCGAAACGTCTGGAAATTATATTTATTCTTGTTAAAAAAAAAAACATTTTGAATGATTTTCATGTGATTTTAAATGCAAGCAGTTCGCACCCCATTTTGTTTATTTGATAGTATTTGATAGTTCTCTCTTGTTCTTCATTGCATATTTATAATTAATTTAAAGTAAATATTCTTTTAATAATTTACTAACATAAAGCTGTTATTTCCTATCAAAGAGGACAGAACTAGGTTGCATTTTTTTCTCTCCCTGTAGCCCCCAAAACTACTAACTCAAAAGCACTCAGTTTGCAATTGGAAAATCAATCAACTTGGAGGCTTTTGCTTTTCCAGCCGTCCATTCAATTGGGAATTCAAAATTTCACTTACAACTCGGCGAGCCGCACACAAAGTGGCAAATAAATTTGCACTTGCATCACCATCATCATGTATCGTATCGTATCGAATGGAATGAATAGGAATACGACTACGAATAAGAGTATGAATATTGATATTCCATATTCCCCATATTTTCCATGGCAGCCAGAGCGTCGTGTTCGATTGTTTTTCCTCGCTTTTCCTTGCTTTTCCTCGCAGCGCGCGAATGTGTGAAAAACATGCCGCAAAATTGCCGAAAAAGCCAAACGCACACATGGAAATTTGCGGCTGACGACTGCGTGTGTATATTTGCATTTTGCCCATTTTTGTAGTCAAATTTCTGTTGTTGTCTGAATCAGCCAGAAAATCCTCCTCCCTTCCACTTTTTCTCACTTTTTCCCTCACATTTTTTTGTTTCGATTTTATTTGGGTGAGCTTCTTGTACAACGCGGCGTATGAATATAGAAATTTATTACTCCTGCTTTTGTTTTGTTGTTGTTTTTAGCTTGCGCAATGTTTACACACATTAAATGGCAGCGTCCAGTCAAAGTCAAAATCCATGTACACGAGAAAAAGAGAGAAAATGAGAATCGATCGTAGGATTTTTTAAGGGAAAAACAGTGGAGAAGTTCTGCTACACTGGAGTAATCTTCATAATATCAATGATAAAATATTTATTATAAAAATTAGAATTACACAAGTTTCAAGTATATTTTAATAAAGTAAAGTTAAATGAAATAAACTTAACTGGATCTTAACCTCGAGTTAGCATTACAGCTTCTTAATAAACGTAATTTATTCCCAAAAAAAATTTTTTCATTTTATTAAATATTTTATAAAACTCCATTTATATTCAAATCGCCCAAAAAGGACTACATTTTCTCACCGTCTACTTGTTGTGCATTACTTTTGCATGTTGCAGACACATGTTCTCGAATGAAAAGCCCAAACAACAACAGCAACAGGCAGTTTTTCGTGAATATATATGTAAATCCCCAGCGTATGGCAGCGCTATATATCCCACATTGTCCAGTTTTACCTCGTTTTGCAATTTTTGCTGGCCAAGAAATTCGTTGGAAAATTCGGAAAACGAAAGCGCACGCATTTGTGCAAATAAACAATGTGGTGGGCGTGTGAGGGGGTGTGTGGAAAACAGGTGGGGGTTAGTGGGTGGTTGATTTTCCAAAAAAAAAAGAGAAAAAGGGGTGGGCGCAATGCTACATACATCTAAGCAATGTCGGAATAATTTACAAATGGGTATTAAGTTTGCATGTGGGCGTTTTGGATTTGAAAATGAGGATGAAAGATTAACGAGCTTAAATAATAGTTTTTATTTATACCAGAAATATTTTGTTAAAATAATAAAAATGATTATTTAACTACTATGTAATGTTAAAAATAATTATATAGTATGATTTTATTATTTACAAATAAATTCAAGCAGATATACTTTTCGAAACCTGCAGCAAATCTAAGTTATCTTTTTTCCTTTTCCCAAAAGCTCCTTTGTGTCTACTGATTTTCTCAGTTTTCCTCGCAATAATCGCAATAATTCGCTATTGCCACTGGAAACTACTGCATTCCAATCGCACAAAAGAATCGCGGAAAAATGCGAGAAAATACAGAGAATGAGTAGAGGAGAAGAGAGAGGGATTTGTCTCTGGATTCTCGAGTTGGCAATCTGCAGGTGTTCCTTTCGCTGGATAAACAAATTACCTGTC